AATAACTAAAAAAACCATGTAAAACATATTTGCAACAAATATAATGTATAATCTTATAACTATTTAAATCTATAACAATATAAGAACAAGCCCACTTAAATTAAGAATATAAGAAATTATAAACTAACTATACTTTAAAAGGAAACCAATGAGATGAGACACTAACTTTATTTTGTGTAACTTCTAGAAGAGGTAATTTAATTCAGCAGACACCAGCGCTGGATAATCCGATTCTTTGAAAGTCGATGTTTCATTTGAAAAGAAATTTTGATGTTACATTTTTCCTGGCCTTTTTCCGTATTTGAAAGAAAATGTAAATTTTTTATATATTAGTTTTGCACCTTATCTCCTTCCCGTATAAATTATTAGTGTTAATTATGTGCAGGATGCAATCCTTTAAGAATTGAATGTTCTGAATTTACAATACTAAAATTGATTTCACAGACTCTAACTTTAAAGTTTGTAAAGGGATGCAGTTTTTTTATTTTTTTATTTCAAAGCTACAACATTTTTTAGTAGAGCAGGTTTTATTACTTTAAAAACAATTAAAACATTTCCACGTTCTAGCACGACTTCAGTCAGTAGCAGTATTGTACTACAAACTTTAAACTTCAATAGAATCATATACACAGACAATCCATTAAACATCAATTTTTAATAACGTTTTCAAGGCTTGTAGTAATTTAAAATAAATATTACCAACAAGTACTATACTCATAAATATTATCAGCCATCTAATTTGCATGATAACAGAAACATACTGGACTCATTTTAAGGATCATTTATTTATCCAGACTAGCCTAAATCACAATATGAAATAAAAGCTAAGAGTATTTTTACCAGGGTTTCTAAAATATCATTTTGTGTATGGATCTTCTTATGTATTTGTATGGTTTGTTATTTACTGGACACTTTATTAGCTTTGAAACGGTGACATTGACTTTTTTAAATTTTTTTTATATAAATATCTTACAGGTTATCAATATTAAGTTATGTTCAGAGTCAACCCCCTTGAATCATTTGATTAGTTACTAACCTCGAATTTTTAAAAATATAGTTTGTTTGTAGTAATCTACATATACTAGCTCACCCAGTCGTTTAATTGTTTCTTGCCTCTACATTTAACAATATAAACATGGGCCAAAAGTGCTAAAAGTGTCCGTCTGTATGTGATTTGTATAAAATATTGGCTAAGGAAATGCCAATTCCGCCAGTGGATGAACTCGTGGTCAAAGCGGATGAGATGTTCTGTATGCAAGGTCACGAAGGCAGGATTACTAAAGTGGGCTTCTCAGGGAAGTCCTCTGATGTGCTCGCATCTACGGACGTACATCCACAAAATGGAATATGGTGGGTTCACTTATTTAAATTATCTAATTTTAACATTGATCAACTATTATTTTTGGATCTGGAATCTGATCCTATCATCAGGAGGAAAAGTACCTTAAATATAGCCAGATTAGTACATGAATCCAACCAAAGCTGGAAAATGACAAATGAAAAGCCATACAGATAAGTATACTAGTTAAATAAAGAAACTTATGACTTTATGACTCGATACTTATGACTATTCATGCTAAATATTGCTCTTACACTTGAACTTACACAACGTATTATTATTAAATGTGTAGTAGACTTTCCATGTCTATTTAGAAGTGATTTAGAAAGGTATAAAAAAGTATCAATTTTCACACCAACAAAGCAGCCTGCTTCAATCAACGTTATGACATTCTTACACTTAAGCTAAATAATACCTATTGTATTTTTTTCCTTTAAGAATATTTTAAAAGTATACTTAGTGAACACTCACGATGGACTCGATCAGTTAAGTCTAAAAGGTTGATAAGACTGGATTAAATAAAAGGACTTTAACAAGTTTCCACGCAAAGTTTTGTTTCAAAACAACTTGAGCATCCGAGATAGCGAAACTGTAAAGAGGAATTCTTACAAACTTGGTAATGCCATTGACTTCGGATACTGAGGTAGTCATCCATCTATATGGACCAGGTGTAGCAAGTTTGCTTCTAAAAGAGAACATAAATTATTGTCACTTTCATATAGTTAGGTATATTGAAGTTATATTTTTCTGTCAATTTCTAAAGCTGTGACAGATTACATAAAGCAAGATTTCATTGTTTATTAAAAGTTACTTTTAAAGTTTGGTGTGGTAAAAACGTTAGGGCCAAAAGAGAAGACGGCGTTTTAGAGCAAAAGACTGTGTATTCAACAAATTTTAAAAAATAAATATATTTTTCACCATGTTTGTGGGAATGGCATGTTATTCCACGGTAGTGTGTACTGTCAAAGCTTAAGCCCCTCTATGTTGAATTATTATTGCTGTCAATCAAAAATTTTGTTTTCCATTTATTTATAATTTTACAAACACTTTTAGTATTTTTGTACTAACTTTAGTATGCACTAGTAGAGTACCCAACCTTCTCACAGGGTTGGTTTGTTTATTTACAATGGTTTTTGAAGACTTTTTTAGATGACAAGCATGTGAACAAAATATGTTATATAATTAGCACCAACACTTCATGTTCAAATGAGCATATACTCATTAAGCATTAATGAGCACACGTATTATTAAGTTTTAGTCCGTATTTTATGAGATCATTTTGTGTTTAAAACAAAACTCTGTTGGAAATCATACATTATGGATGTTATATATTTTTAACGTCCCAAATAAATTAAACACCCCTGAACAATGCTCAGGCCCTGGTACTTTAGATATTTGACTTTAATACTTTAAACCTAAGTATTACTAAAACAAAATAACCGGGTGGATTAAAATCCCATTTTGCGATATCAATAATCCCAGAGAGGATTGGACTTAAATTAAAACGAGATATCATCCAAAAATCCAATTGCATTTCTAAACTAATCTTTTAGTTTCATCCAAACATCAATTTTTTATATTGGTTTGAAACATTGCTAGCTGATATAAAATCATGACCTTTTGCAAAAATATATTATTTCCGTTATAGAAATTAGAAACAATAACATTTTACTATAAGAACATTGATTATTTTTGTAGTTTATTAAATTAAAGACTTGATTAATTTGGAATTCTAAATAAATTGGATTTTGAATGTTTCACATCCAAAATGAAACATAGTAATAGCAATAGCTAACAGATATAAAATCGCATACAACTATAATTGGAATAAACATTCAAGATACCGGTATTAAATTAATTATAGGATTCCTTTATTAATCTGAATATTTTTTTCCTTTTCTTTCTTTAGTGGTTAAGACAATTTTTTAGATTGGCTTAAAACACCTACTTTGTATGGTCGCCATTTCATTGAAAAGTATTAAAGTATTAAAAAGTATCCTAAAAGGTCTTCTTGCAATAATTCATTTAAATGAAATATGAAATTTCCTTTGCTGCTTGGAACTTAACACATAATATTGAAGTATCTAAAAATCTATGTATTAATGCAGAAACAATGCTTTCACAAATAAAGGCATTATTATATCTTTCTTTCTTCCTTCACAGATTAAATTTTGTATTTGTTTGTGAACTTTACTATTGTGCATTTTACAACAGAATTTTACATATCAGTATGTTCCTCTAGACGTAAAATCACTAAATTGGGATTCAACTGTTTTTTTTTACAACATAATACATGCACAACAAGTTATTACATTGTAATAGGAACTCAATTTGAATTAGCAACTCGTTTCATTACAAAAAAATCTTCAAATATTCTTGATAAAAGTTTATGATAAATCACCCTTTTCAAAAAACTTTTCAAATAAAGCTGTAGAAGTAATTAAAATGTCAAAGGGACCGAGATGAATGTGAATTTAGAAAGAACTTTAATTAAAACACTGATAAATAGCCAACATTTCTTTAATTAACATTCCCTGAAGTAATTTAAGCTAATGAGCTAATCAAACTTGCTATATTTATTTGTATTACATATTGGTTTTATGTGATAGCTAGGAGTGAGGGGGTTACAAAAAACCTCATCCCTACTAATATAGCTCTTGAAAAAGGTTGAGTCCTTGTAATAAAACTATGCACTAGTAAGTTTATATCAACTGGGATGTCACAGCTTAGCACTGCAATTGCTAAACCATTAATCAATTAAATTCTGTAAGACAAATGCTGGTATAAATAAAACAATGTAATTAGCCAAGTATAAAATACATAGTATTGAACTAAATAAGACAATAACATAAACAATAACATAATTTTAAAATGTATCACAATACAAAAAGTGTCCACTCACTCACAAAATTATTGAATTTAGGTGGTAACAAAATTAAATGCAACTGACAGTGGAAATAAGTGGTAATTTTATAGATTGATTTGTTTGTCCAAAAGCTGTACCCAATGTACTACTTGTAAAATAGAACACTACTTGACATAGAAAGGTAATCATTTACCAAACAATAGTTAGGAACGTTATTGACAACTATCACAGCTTTAGATTATACTATCAATTAGAACTAGTAAAAGAGAGGCAGTCTAGTGGTAGAGTGTGGGCTTCAGAGCCCGAGGTCCAAGGTTCAAATCCCTCCAATCACTAATGAATTTCATCTATTATGCCTGACCCTCTACTCTAACCTGAAGTAAGTAATATGTAAAACAGTTTCAGGCTAGAGCCTAGCATAGGCTGGGAAGTTGGTACATAAAAAAAAATTAATAAACACTATCAATTAGGATGGGGTGTAGGGAGGGACGAGGGAAAAGCTCCCAGGAACATTGAGATTCAAACTTCTTAACACAAGAGGTAGGGATTTATTTTTGTCCTAGGGCGCTAGGCACAAGTCCGGAATTGTTTTTCACAATTACTGTACTTCAGGCTAGACCTAGGGGTTGTGGCATTATTACTTTGGCGGATTTGAACCCAGGACCTTAGGGACTGAAGTCGCACTCTAACCACTAGACCAGCTCGCTGCCCGGTAGGGATATTTAATAAATTCAATTTTCTTAAAATGAATCCTATGCAGGATTGAAGTTTTAAAAATTATATATTATTCCCATATTTAATCCCTTGGTATAGTAAATATGGAGCTACCTCAAAAGGAATCTTGAAAAAATGTTGACAATTCAGAAGCAATATATCAAAGCTATATGTTAAAAATTAACAACAATTATTCAGCAAAAGAAAAGAACACTATAAACTTTCAAGAACCCTCACTGTGTATGGCTTATATGTTCTTGACTATATAGTGTTTTTCAAAAACCAAATTTTAATCGTTAAATTAATGTAAGCAACCATAAATTGATACACACAACAAAAATAATTTTGTAATTGGAAATCATAACTAAGAGGTTTCAAACAGGCTGTCAATGCAGGGCATATTTTTTCTAATACCTACATCCCTTTAAAAATTAAAACGGAAGAATACCCCAGTATTTAAACAAAAAGAGTCAGGGAATAGTTATAGACCTGTCCGTATGTTCTTTAGAATAATTAAAATGGTTACCTTAGTTTAAGCATTATTTTTAGTTATTTTGAGCAATTCATGTATTACTATGTATACTTATGAATAAACTATGAGTAAGACTATGTCAATGACAATTAATTTTTGTTATAACTGTACCATATAATTAAAGCGAAGGGGGCGGGAGGGAAATTTTAGTGTGAATACACAATTTGCTCTTCCCACATTCTGCTTGACACTCTAATTGACGTGAATTGTAATGAGGTAATTAATTTATGTGTTGTAAATATTTATCCTGTAAGAATATTTTGTTATTTATATAAAGACTTGGTCTGAAAACTGTAACCCCTTACTTTGTCAATGATATGTTATGTATCTTACGGCATATAAAGATTGATTGATTGATTAATTTAGGCAAAGTTGCCCTTTAAAAATTGGTTTGTACGCTACAGATCTGATTCTTGTGTGGCATGCTTCTCCGGCAATCTTCTTCTTTTCATCTCTGAAAATTGTAGATCAGTTGAGTTATTAACTAAAAGTTATTATGAAACTGGCTAATAATATAGTTTCACGTCACAGCTGTAATTCATACAATTATTTCAATCTTTTTTCCTTTTCTGGGGATAGTTTTCAAAACTCTCTGATCTTAAATTACAGTATTTATTTTTTTTTATGAATAACAAAATTATATTGTAATATATACTTGATAAGTTCAGCAGTTATTTTTTAGACATGCTAGCTGTAATCGTATTGCAAAAACTTTATTTAAATTTGAATTTAATGATAAACTGCAGAAAACCATTAAGATGTAAAATTGTTGGCTGTTAATAGGGAAACCATAATCAAGTTCTTATTATTTAAGAGCTGTTAAACACACACAATCAATTAGCCAAGTCAGAGAAAAGTTGTACAAATGTCAATGGAAAGTCTTTTAAAATTGCAATAATTGCATAGAAGTTATTCAATGAGTAACAAGGGGAAGTCTTAATTATCTGTTGTACAAGTCTTATGTTAGGCTGTTAAGTATATTAAAACCAGTAATTAAAAATCAGTTTACTAGGACTGTCTACTGCATGTAAGGATAAGCTTATAGCAATCATTTATAATGTATGCAGCAGTATAGAATGTTTTCTAGATTACCTTCCTCTAACTCTGTCATCATGTAGTCCACTTTTCTGTTCCTTTTCCAGCATTTATGAATTGAAAAGTAAATAACTGCAAAGGTCAGAAGGAATAATGACAGAAGTATGTACCAATAAGACTTAGTCATCTCGACAAAGAGATCTGCAACATGAGGATGAAAATGTACTAAACATTGTAAATAATTGGTAACTACCACACGAAGATAGTCAGATAGATGATTGTAACAACTGTATTTGTATACGATAGAAAGTTTACAAATTTTCAAATAGTTATACGGTACTCCAGTTTAAATTAGTTCATCATTTGCATTTTACTAATACAAACTGAAGTAATAATATTGTAGAGAAGTAACAATAAATACCATGTATTATTTCTTCTTAACAATATCATTACAAGAATAATTTTTCAATCTTAGCCTCTTGACTAAAAAACTAAATTTAGCTCTATAATTGAGTTTCTCAACTACAGCCAACTCTTTTGTGTACTGTAGTTTTTGAACTATTTTATCCATGGGATAATTGCAGACATTTTCCATCACAATCAGTAAAAAAAAATTTCAAAACCCTTTTAGATCTAGAATATGATCCCCTCCTTGGTGAAAATACTATATCCTAAATCATATCCTAAAACACAGCCAGTCGAAGCTGGAAATTCACAAATAAAGAAATATCAAAATTTATGGTCGTCAAAACAAGAAAGTACAAACCCTGAAGGAATAACAAAAAAAAGTTCAAATAGGGGGTGGTTATATAAAAACAATAGACACATCTGAGGTGGTGGCTAAAAAGAGAGGACAGACGTACGTAATTTATTGTGTTCATCAAGCAACCTTTATGATTGACTTTGTATTAAATTGCAAGTAATGAACAGCAATGAGAGCACTTTTGTAAATCTTGTTATTAATGTTTCTACATGCAATAGCCTCTCCACAAACAACATAAACTAGACATAGGGACATAAACCAACACAACACCGGACATGAAACAATCTTCACCCTTCCAATCCACAAGCTATAATTATGCCTACTGAAAGAAAACCATCCTATAAAGGAGCTAAATACTTCAACCTCCTTCCAGAACAACTTAAACAACTGAATAATTCAGCCTCTTTCCATAAAAAAAAACTCACAGACTGGCTGCTGGAAAGATCCTCCTAGACTGAGGAGAATTCATCCAAACATGACTTATAGATCTTTTAAATATGACTAGGTGAACCAGTGCGAATTCGCATGAATAATAAATTAGGATATTATAGCAACGTCGTTAGAAGTTGCGTCATTGTATCGACGTTGGTCTTGAGCTCGATCGTTGGCTATAGTTCTTTTTGCTGTTCAGTAGGAGTATTTTGAAGAACGGAGCTCATCATGCTGAAAACTTGCGCGTATGGATTAATATCAACCACATGTTGAGTCAAAATGTGAATGAGTTCAGTGCTGCAAGAGCCATTAGCTTTGTTTAGCATTCTTTCTTGAACAGCGGTTTTGATGTCGTAGATATAAATTTGGGCATATGTGGGATGCTCCCCTTCTGGTTGTAAGGTGCCAATTGATAAATTGTGATAAATGAGTGATAAATTGTGTCGTGCACCTTAACACGAAAGGCCCTCCACTGTTATGTTCTTCAATTTTTAGCTCGAGTGCTGACCATTGCGAGCGCAGAGTTGTACGATCTAATGTTCTCTTTGTAGTTTCTGCTCAAATGATTTGCTCCATTTAGTAGGCTCTGGATATAATAGCTCTCTTGGTATGGTGGTAGATTTACTTTTCCTTTATGGAAGCAGGATGAAAATCCTTCGCCTCGTCCTCTTTGTTCTTCTTTAAAATGTAGCACACCACATTTTAATGCCATCTCGCCAAGTGAATGCTGCTGAGTTCTTGTATTTGTCAGTGTAATTTTGTTAGTACACGTTGCCACTAACTGTTCCAGCTCCTCGTCTGGGTTCCTTAGGTTTTGCATTGCTTGCCGTATGTTGACTCGCCGTGTCTGACCAGCAATATTTCTTTGTCGTCGGGTCCTCAGCATGTTTAAACGAAAATAACATGTAAAACTTTTCTCCCGTCGTGTCCTATAGGTAACATTTCCTTGCCGGGTTTCTAATTATTTTTAAAAACACGCAAACTGTTTACATTTCAAAACGAAACAAAACAGCTGGAATTTATTTTTTTAACTAATGTATTTACATCTGTTTCAGAATATAATAACATTCAAATCAATCACAATGTTTTCCTTATGGAAGGAAATTTGAGGGCAGCCCACGCCCTTAAAAAGATATATTTCGAAAACCTAAAGCCAGTTTGCACATCACGAACATTTTGGTATGTAATATGTGGGGTTAAATCTTAAAACAAAAAAGCCTTATTGTTCACAAAGTTTCATGTCAGGTATTAAATATATAGATTAGTTGTTGTAATCAACTAAGAACCTGTGAATCCTATGACACTATACTGTTATTCGATGAACATGTAAATAAAGTATATTGTCTTTAGTCTATGCTGTTGTAAAACGTGAATTTATAATAGAAATTAGAGGGCAGTTAAGTTTACTTACAGAACACTCCTAAATTATAAGACATCTTTGTCAGAAGTAAAATGAACAATGCAACATTATACTTTTCACAAAAAAAAAACAAGGTAGACAAGTTTAATTTTTAATTAATGAACACTATCTCCATAATAATCAGCTGACAAATTTTAAAGCTGGCAAAATGTAAATTTGATGTCCTCCATCACAGCAGGATCTGTTTTGACCTGAGGATAAAAAGATACTAACTTAGATACTACCATTGACTATTATATGTTGTATTAATAGTCAAAGATACTACCTAAAATCTGTTATTATGACTAAAATACAGTTTTATACATGAAAATAGTCTTAATTTAGTTGGACCGAAACTTACCTAAATCCACAAAATTTACTGGAGCCTTGAAACACTTTCCAAAATTAATCTGAAGCTCAAAACTCTCACCACAGGAATCTCTGTTCAACATAAACACTTGTTAAAAGAAAAGATGGTAAATGTACCAGTCAAACTATTGGTAATCATACAACAACAAAAGAGTTAAAATACATAATCTAAACCTTCTTATTCATTAATCTTATGACAATCTATTGCACCTAATACTAATGTTTTACTTTATTTGAAATGTTTTATAGGCAAATGTATAAAGGGGCAGAAGTGATTCTATGTAAAAGTTAGACACACATTTTTGAGTATAGAAATAAAACTTATATGAACCACTTGGTTTTCTTTTTAAAGTCTCTTTGGTTCAATTAGATCTACTAAGCAGGCCTAAACAGTTCTTATAATAATATCCTTTTTATGCTAGCTTTTAATAGCTCTGTAGTAACAGTCTTATAAGGTGCAAGTAAAATGTAAAGTAAAAGAAACTCACCCAAATGTTGCAATTGAACGAACACACCAATCAGATTTAAGTTTATCTATCTTTAGGAACTCTTCAAAGGACTCCTCAGTCATTTTTTCTTTTACAATCAGAGGCACATTGTTTATTTTGAGAGTGAACCTCGCCAACTTAACATAATCTTTGGTACTGGTTTGATGAAACTCTGTATTTGTAATTTGTGTTGAATATGTACTAAACTCACTAGATTGATAATCATTTGTGCTCAAATATTCAAAGTCATATGTGCTATAATAATCGTGTGTGATATCAAAATCAAAGGCAGCCACATTGTCAACCATTATTGGTTTATTTTCTGTTGTAGATTTGATGGTCGATTCTTCATAATCCGTACTATTGAATTGTAAGTAGTTCAATGGACCGAAATCTTCAGATCTTTTAGTAAATTCTCCTGTTGTCGATTCTTCATAATCCATACTGTTGAATTGTAAGTAGTTCGAAGGACCGAAATCTTCAGTTGTTTTAGTAAATTCCCCTGTTGTTGATTTGATTGTCAACTCTTCATCATCCATACTATTGAACTGTAAGTAGTTAAGTGTACTGAAATCTTCAGATGTTTCAGAAAACTCTTCAGTGGATACCACATCAGTAGTAGAAGCCGTTTTAGTTTCACTCCAGAATTTTGAGTCAGTGTTTTCTGAAACTTGTGTGGTTGAATGAAACAAAATATCTGAGTCTTGGGATATTATATCGTGCTTGAAATCTTCTGTTACACATTCTACTTCTACAATATCATTGGAGTCTTCAGATGTGTAGTTAAAAAAACAAGTTAGATTGAAAATAGCTTGACTTGATTTCTGCACATACTTAGCTATCAAAATTTTGAATAAAGGACATTCCAAATCATGAACAATAAGCTGACTCGAGCAACCGGTTAATATAGAAATATCCCCTGTGGCAAAACACTGGTGGTAAGAGCTTTTTACATCAGTACAGTTGGAGGAGTTGCTTGACCCTTCAAAACCCAAAAGACAGCTACAAGTTTCTGGAGCAGAGCAGACTCCATTAATACAATCTTCAGAACAGTATGGCTCACAAGAGAACGAATCTTCATAATTCTCTGTGAAGCCTGGATCACACTCGCAAGTTTCAGGCTCTACACATTTACCGTTAACACAGTCTCTAGAACAATAAGGAGAACAGTAGCTTGAATTACCAGTAGAGTTGACAAACCCTTCTATACAAGTGCAGGTGTTGGGAGCTGAGCATTCACTGTTGACACAATCCCCTTGACAAACTGGGACACAAGATTCATTTCCTAGATTCTCATAGCCCTCCCAACAATGGCAAACTTCTGGAAGAACGCAAGAGCCAAACTGGCATTCAGAGCAAACCGGTTCACAAACATAAGGACTGAAGGAAGCATACCCAGCAAGACATTCACACACTTCTGGTTCAATACAGTTACCATTAATGCATCCTAAAGGGCAAACTGGTTCGCAAATATGTTCGCTTTGTTTCCTATATCCATCCAAACATTGGCATACATTCGGCTTTGTACAGTTGGCATTCACACACGGTAAAGAACAATGAGGTTCACAAATATAAGGATCATCAGAGCGGATATATCCGTCAAAGCAATTGCAGATTTCAGGTGCCATGCATTCTCCAAATATACACTCTTTTGAACAAACTGGGTTGCAGGAGTATTTGTCATGAGGATCCGCTTCATAGCCAGCCCAGCAAGTGCAGACTTCCGGTGACATGCATTCGGAATTGACACACAATTTTGAGCAAACTGGTATGCATTCATATGCATCACTTTTGGTGAAACCCTCATAACAAGTGCATTCTTCTGGTGCAGAACAAAATCCATTCTCACACTTCTTGGAGCAATACGGATTACATCGATTAGGACTTATTTCATCTTTAACGAATCCAGTGTGACAAGAGCATTCATTAGGTGCAGTACAGTCTGAATTGACACACTGATCACAAACTGGTTTGCATTTTGATGGATCCAAACCTTTCTCATAGCCTTGAAAACATGAACAGGTTTCAGGTGCTGTACAGTTAGCATTTGTACAGCCACCAGTGCAGACTGGTCTACAAACGTAGACATCTGAGCGATCCAGTTCATATCCGGCGTTACAACTACATATTTCAGGTGCACTACAGATTCCATTTTCACATTTCTTGGAACAGATAGGAACACAAATGTAGTCATTTTCTTTCTCGTAGCCTTTGTTACAAGTGCAGATTTCTGGCGCTGTACACACTCCATTTTGACATTCCTTCGAGCACACAGGTTTGCAAGAATATTGATCTACCTTCTCATGTCCTCTGTGGCAAGAGCAAACTTCAGGCTGGGAACAAACTCCGTTTTGACATGGCTGGCTACAAACGGGGGTGCAGTTGTATCTATCCATAGGGTCAGTTTTGTATCCGAACACGCATGAACAGGTTTCTGGTGCGGTGCATTCTCCATTTTGACATTCTTTTCTGCAAATCGGTTTACAAACTTCTTGATCTTCCTTGTAGCCATCGTTACAAGTGCATTGTTCGGGTCCGGTACATTTCCCATTGTTACACCCCTTCGAACAAAACGGGATGCAAGTATACTTGTCCGAAGCATCTTTTACAAATCCTGGATTGCACGAGCAGGTTTCTGGATGTGAGCAGATGCTGTTGTGACAAGGTTTGCTGCACACTGGAGTACAGACGTATTGAGACTTGTATGAGTAACCAAAGTTGCAGCTACATGTACTTGGCGCTGAGCAAAACCCGTTGATACAGCTTTGATAGCATATTGGCTTGCAGAGACCAGCATAATTTTTGCGAAACCCATCACAACAGTAGTATTCTACTTCTTCATCTTCAACAGTCTAGAAAAAATAATATGATTATCAAACAACAATTAATTTTATAGATTTATTTATTAATTATATTTTGTACCTCATATTTTATAGGGGTGAAAACGTACCGTGAATAAACAAACACCAGAACTTACCTGTTTAATACCTCGAGACTTGTCGTCCGAGTTCTGAACCCCTGCGTTGGTGGGTGATAGAATCAAGTCTTTGGAGTGTTCACATTTGAACAATTAATTACGAAGAATAGTAATCTAAATTTATTTAAAATATATTACGCTAAATTCTTTGTTTAAATATATTAATCAGGCCCTGAAGGATTAAAGATTTATTTATTTTATTAAAGTATATTACGTTTAATAAATTGCCATACAATTTTGTTGTCCTTTAGCAAATTTTTTTGCCAAATAGTTTTAAGTTTAATACGAGTAGTTTTAGAAAATTTAGCCATTTAGTTAATGACTTGTCAAAGAACGTTAGGTTGCAATTTCAAAGTATTGTGAGTAACAAATTAACACGATGAACCTCTGACTTTTAGTGTAATGTAAATTATACCTCAACATGTGGGACATGATCCAGCTCCCAATAGTTATATGAACAGTGGGAAAGATACAAAAATCCACATCTCCTTGTACCAGTTTTTAGAACATCTTCATATCGCCACACTCTTGCTGTCTTGTATATTCTGAAAATGAGTGCAGTAGGTTTTTTGTTAATCATCGGCACTGCACTATACAATATGTTAATAGAAGTCTAGACCTTTTAATGCTAAAGCGCTGAAGCCAGTTTTTAATAGCAAATTTAATTGAATACACTGACAGAGTGTGGTGTAAAATTATATACTGATTTCCATCGTAAATGAAAAGACAACTTCTTGAAAACCTTCATGTCAACTTTCATAGTAGGGTATTGAAAACTAAAGGATACTAATACAACTTGGAAATACCAGTGGCGGCGATAGCGGGCCCGCAGTGCAGGGGGACCCGCGAGCTAGGGGGGCCCGTGAGCCTTGACCGGGATTTTCGGTAAATTTTACCGGCACACGGGCCCACGATAGTGTGACAGGCTCAGCCACACGGGTCCCCTATCATAACAATATTTATGAGAATTAAAATACATTTTTATGATGAAAATTTGTTCAAACCTATAGTTCAAGTAGTTTACAACAGCTAAACCAACACTATTACTTGACCGAACGATATAAATTATCTACCAACCTAAGTAAAAGAATTGTCATCAGTCATGCGGGTTGCATTAACTGTCCTCGTGGATTGTGTGAAGGCGCAGTCAAAATTGGTTGCATAATAATAGGGCCGTATTTATAACCAATGTGGCCTCTGGCCTAGGAAGATAAAACATTAATGTTAATCTTCCTTGCCCCCAGCGGGTGACACCATAGAGGATCCTCTATGCTGATTCGACTAAATAAACTTGACAATTTTATTACAACCAAATCGGCAAATTAACCTAGGTGGCTAGGGCTATTGCACTAGCTTATAAATGATTCCATTCTTTCATTGATGCTAAAGAAGGATTTTCATTTCATTTCATGTCTTACTATTAGGAGGCTGCCCTTTAGATTTGTTTACTTCGCACTTAAGATGTGTTTACATCGAGTCAGGTAAAAAATGCTACTTACCTAAGGGCCTCAGGCCAAATCAGATCGGTTCAAAATCGGGTTGCTTTGGAAACGGTTGATTTTTATAATAGGCCTATAATGTCGATTTTCGAGCCGAGCAGAACCTGGACTACAAGCTTGACTTTGTGTTGATCAAGCACAAAGTCAGAAAATCAAGCTTGAGCCGATTTTCTCAGTATTCAATACAATAATGCACAATTAAAAGTAAAAGCTTTTATATCCGTGAGGATCACGCTCACGAAATTGAAAGATTAGGCCTAAGCTTTTGCCGCGACGATGACGATGTCTCCGCGGCCGCAGATGTTCAATATTTTGCCGCGATTGCGGAAGACAATAATGACGTTTCTTTTTTAGCGAGAGATATATCTAGGATTTAGCCGCGATTACGGAAAAATTATTTACCCGTCACCACCAACGGGTCACGGGGAGATATTAGGCCGTGATATTAGATTGGGCCGTGAACGCGGGAGACGATGATGCTGCTATCTAATAAAGTAATAGGTTTGGTTGCATTTGCAATCACGGTAAACTATGGTAATGTTTCTTCCATGACTTATGACTACGGGAAGTATTTACGATTTTGCCGCGATCATGGAAGACAATCGCCTCGGGAGATGCCTCGTCAAGTTTATTGCAAAATTGCAAGTTTAGGCAGTAATACATGGGAAAATGTTTTTAAAGATCATTGGGAGAGGGGGGCCAGGCGAACAAACTTGCGGGGGGGGCCCGCGGTTTCTTATCGCCGCCACTGGGAAATACACTCTCATTGATTGGTTCATTGGACTATGTTCTAATTGAGTGGAAACTGCCCACAAGTAAATTAGGGTCTACATCAAGCTTTCGCGGTAGTCAAGCAACCTATTCCGAATCTGATACCAACATTGTACTCTTCATCCACTACTATTTAGCCCGTTCCTAACCCTATAAAGCATACAGCATTGTCACATAATTAAAAAAGTTTTTTTAATAAAGATTCATGTTCCTGCCAAGTAAAAATGGCATTCTGTTATTAGAATGCTATGGCTTCAGTCATCAACCACGATTGAAATTCATCACCAGTTGACAGATGTGAGTAACATGTTTTTGTATAGAAAACGTGCATATGGGCATTGAGTATAAACCTAACAAAGGGAGTTAGGAGGTGGTCTTCAACCTTTACACAATGTTTTCTTAGGTGCAGTGAGACTGCTGTTGTTTGTCAATCTCATTTTAAACAGCAACCAAAGTTGAGTGTAATTATCAATGTAAATGAACAAGAGAGATAGCCAGACCAGGGGACATGTCTAAACGGCTATCAAGAACTACTATCTTGGAAGTCTGAAACATGTGGATCCGCAAGCAAAGAATCTTGAAATTCAATCAATGTCATGATGGAAACGTGCGCTGCCAACCGGCCCCATAATGCAAACCTATATGACCTTTGGCAAACTACTACATTCTACATACGCCATTTGTGCACGTGTTCTACATCTAAACACTTTTCTTCATACTCATCCGTCAACTGGAAAAAGTAATCAAAAGGAATTGACCTCATTCCTACAGAAAATTAACTAAGCAGCGGGAGATTTGATAACATTTTAAAAACACACAGCAAAGCGTACAAGTTAGTTACAGAGATGCAAATTGTGTCAATCCGTACACAAATAATGCCAGTACGTGGCGTGGAGCCTCATTGAGGCGTAAAAGCGGACTGCGGATTTATACGACAAAACGGCCCTCATAGCAATCAAATTGTTACAGATTCTCATAACCAGGGAGTTTTAGATTAAATTCATAAGACCTTAATACATCAGTATGAGGTGTTGGTATTTTAGAAAGTTTCAGGTAAAAAGAGTATAATTTAATTCCATTTATTTACATGCTTATTATAAAACTATTTGAGTTTGTGTAGTTTTTTATATTTATAAATTTACTTAGTTTAAAATCATTTCTAAATTGACTAAACTATAATTAAAATCTGATATTCCTCAATGTATATAAAAATGTTGTGTTAGACACTGAAAACATGCTTGGATTGCAGGTTTGTTGCTACAAGGGTTTCACTTACGTTTTCCATCGTGTACAGACAGCATTGCAGTCTATGTGGCTAATATGTAGAGAAAACGCCAGAAAAATCCATATCCACCTGGGAAAAATTTAAAAAACTCAATATTTAGTAACTTAATTATTTTTTATTAATTATTTTAGGTCTAAAACACTGAGCCCACTTGGCTGTTTGTTAAATTTCAATACAATTGCCAATCTAATCCATCAGTTACTGTACATTGGTCTTTGTGGTTGAATAATGAATGTTAAAGATTATAGTTAAATAATAGTTATAAGATAACTATTACAGTATTTTCTAAGAACACCACTTCGGAACCTTGGATGACTAGAAGAACATAAATGACTAGTGCACCTGTTGCTCGAATTTGAGCAATTGCAAAGTATTAGGGGCGATATTTCAAAACGAATAATGCAAGGAACAACAGAAAAGATTGGCAGAGTCTTGAAGAAGTACAATATTAAAACTATTTATAAGCCCCCAACAAATTAAGCAGTTGCTCCATCCAGTGAAAGATAAATTACAATTGCATACTTCAGGTGTATATCACGTGCAATGTAGCTGTGGACAATACTACGTCGGAGAAACTGGAAGATTAGTCAGAACTAGGATAAGAGAACACATAAGGTCCACCAAAAATTTGAAAGTCTAAAATTCAGCAATAGCAGAACATTCATTTACTACAAAACATGCAATTGATTTCGAAAATGTCAAATTCTTAGCCTCCAGTTCTATTTATAACGAAAGGAAGATCTTGGAAGCCATAGAAATTAGAAAACACACAGACAATTTCAACAAAGGCCAAGTACTTGATCTTAGTAACACTTGGATGCCAATTTTAAACAACATAAAAGTCAAGTGTGTTCAGGAAAGTTCTGGAAGTATTGAGGCACGAGGGTTACAGCAGTCAGCGAACGCCGGGGAAAACACGTGGACAGTAAACACGTCAGCCCCTCTATCCTGGGATGTCTAACCCCCACCCCTCCAGATATAACCTGCGATCTCGCCCAGCTGTAAGCTCAACTTGATTTTTCATCTGTGCGGAGTCAAGTCACCCTGAAGATGGCACTCTGTAACGAGGCCGAAACGTCGGTGAGTGTTAGTGATTCATCATTTTTGACACGGTCGTTGCCAGAAGTCCACAATTCTACATACAAAACTTGTTGTAACCTTATGTCTTCTCTATGTTTTCGTGTTTTGTTCAAGTCTTGTAGGTTTTATTTATATAACTCTGTTAACGATCATCAAATGAAGTGATTACCTGACACCAGTGACACCTTTAAGCCTGATGATGGTTTATAAGAACCGAAACTAGCTGCCAAAACACCAACAAAGGACTACTATATGCAGGTGATCGTGAACCATTTTATAAGTATAATACAATCGTCCCAAGAATTAACAACTCTTAGAAAATAAACTTTACCTTTGAGAAAATAATAAATATGAGATAGCATAAGTGTAGATCTATACAATTGTGTTGAAAAAGTTTTAATTTCATTTTTGCAATACCACAAACTATATTACAAAGTGTTTCCCCCCTATGGCATTGGCATCTCTTTTGGTCCTTCTGAATATGGTCCCCTACACATTATTGTGCAATCTGATTCTTATTTAAAGACAATTCATTTCTAATTTTAATTTTTTATTTTGTGGTTCTACGATGATTTGAGGGAAGACACATTGAAATGCGATATGAGTAATTGAAATAAATACTTGTGATAATTAATTTGACAAATGTACTTAAGGAAAAACTTACTTGTCCATTTGGAGTGATCTCTAAGCAGGATGGAAGATTCTACCGGACATCATATCATCTGTCCATTTATCAGATGACTAATAATCAGCTGTTTTGTTATCTCCAGAATTGTTACACTGTAGCGCTTTAGAATTTAGCAACAAATTTACAAATAATATTTGTTTATAATATATTGTGATAATTTTATCAAACTGCATGCAATAATAATATGGTTGGAGAATAAATATGCTTAGAGTACAAGTTTATGTAAATGGGAAAACAGTAGCTACCATTCCTATAAAGACAAATTTAATTGCATCACTTGCTTTTAAAATCTCTTCAATATAGTTATCAACAAACACGTTTTGTCTGTGGCTTAGTTCAATACACATAAGTGGTAGATGAACCAGCTAGAGACCAAGCAATATTTACCAGAGTTCCTTGAAACCACGTATTGGAGAAAAAATGGTGACTTCATTTTGATTTAAATAAAATCTGTGTGTTTTGAAATGATAACCAGGATACTCAGCCCACAGAGAAAAGCCAAAACCGTACATGAGGTTTGATGACTGAGAAAATGTCTGTGGATTGCAAGTTAATATGGAACTGGGAACTATAGATTAATTGCCAACAGCCCATGGCTAAGCAACATCGTTTTGTTGGTTTTCTTTTTAGGTCATTGTGTAGAAAGTACGTTTTGGTAGGGGAGGATCACGGGTGTTTCAATCACAATAGATAATCACTGTTATTTCTAAGATCACTATATGTGGCCATCATGGTGGGAACTTATCATGATGTTGCCGTGATGGCAAGAGATCAACTGTTTTCGTGCTTTCAGACAAACTGCAGCATTTGCTACCATTTCCAGCTGATCCAAACAATCTGGTTTTTGTTTTTTTTACAACATAATACATGCACAATAAAGTTATTACATTGTAATAGAAACTCAATTTGAATTAGCAACTCTTCTTTCATTACTAAAAAATCTTCAAATATTCTTGACAAAAGTTTATGATTAATCACCCTTTTCAAAAAACTTTTCAAATAAAGCTGTAGAAGTAATTAAAATGTCAAAGGGGCCGAGATGAATGTGAATTTAGAAAGAACTTCAATTAAAGCACTGATAAATAGCCAACATTTCTTTAACTAACATTCGTTGAAGTAATTTAAGCTAATGAGCTAATCAAACTTGCTATCTTTATTTGTATTACATTTTGGTTTTATGTGATAGCTAGGAGTGAAGGTGTTACAAAAAAACCTCATCCCTACTAACATAGCTCTTAAAAAAGGTTGAGTCCTTGTAATAAAACTACCCACTATTAAGTCTAATTCAACTGCGATGTCACAGCTTAGCACTGTAATTGTTAAACCATTAATCAATTAAATTCTGTAAGACAAATGCTGGTATAAATAAAACACTGTAATTAGCAAAATATAAAATACATAGTATTGAACTAAATAAGACAATAACATAATTTCAAAATGTATCACAATTCCAAAAGTGTCCACTCACTCATAAAATTATTGAATTTAGGTGGTAACAAAATTAAATGAAATTGACAGTGAAAATAAGTGGTAATTTAATAGATTGATTTGTTTGTGCAAAAGTTGTATCCAATGTACTACTTGTAAAATAGAACACTACTTGACATTAGTAGTTGTCTTGAAGGGTAATAATTTACAAAAAAAATTTAAGAACGTTATTGACAACTATCACAGCTTTAGATTATACTATTAATTAAAACTAGAAGTGAGGTGGTCTAATGGTAGAGTGAGGTCCCGGGTTCAAATCCCTCTAATCACTAATGAATTTCATCTATTATGCATGACACTCTACTCTAGCCTGAAGTAAGTAATATGTAAAACAGTTTCAAGCTAAAGCCTAGCGTCATAGGCTGTGAAGGTGGTACATTAAAAAAAAATTAATAAACACTATCAATTAGGATGGCATGTAGGGAGGAACAAGGGAAAAGCACACAGCAACATTGAGATTCGAATCTCTTAACACAAGTGGTAGGGATTTATTTTTGTCCTAGGGCGCTAGGCACAAGTCCGGAATTGTTTTTCACAATTACTGTACTTCAGGCTAGACCTATGAGTTGTGGCATTATTACTTAGATCATTATTACTTTGGCGGATTTGAACCCGGGACCTTAGGGACTGAAGTCGCGCTCTAACCACTAGACCAGCTCGCTGCCCGGTAGGGATATTTAATAAATTCAATTTTCTTAAAATGAATCCTATGCAGTATTGAAGTTTTAAAAATTATATATTATTCCCATATTTAATCCCATGGTATAGTAAATATGGAGCTACCTCAAAAGGAATCTTGAAAAAATGTGACAATTCAGAAGCAATATATAAAAGCTATATATTAAAAATTAACAACAATTATTCAGCAAAAGAAAATAACACTATAAACTTTCAAGAACCCTCACTGTGTATGGCTTATATGTTCTTGACTATATAGTGTTTTTCAAAAACCAAATTTTAATCGTTAAATAATTGTAAGCAACCATAAATTGATACACACAACAAAAACAAAATTGTAATTGGAAATCATAACTAAGAGGTTCAAACAGACTGTCAATGCAGGGCATATTTTTTCTAATACATCCCTTTAAAAATTAAAACGGAAGAATACCCCAGTATTTAAACAAAAAGAGTCAAGGAATAGTTATAGACCGGTATGTTCTTTAGAATAATTAAAATGGTTATACTCAATTTTAGTTATTTTGAGCAATTCATGTATTACTATGTATACTTATGAATAAACTATGAGTAAGACTATGTCAATGACAATTAATTTTTGTTATAACTGTACCATAAAATTAAAGCGAAGGGGGTGGGAGGGAAATTTTAGTGTGAATGCACATTTTGCTCTTCCCACATTCTGCTTGACACTCTAATTGACGTGAATTGTAATGAGGTACCGAATTAATTTATGTGTTGTAAATATTTATCCTGTAAGAATATTTTGTTATTTATGTAAAGACTTGGTCTGAAAACTGTAACCCCTTACTTTGTCAATGATATGTTATGTATCTTACGGCATATAAAGATTGATTGATTGATTAATTGAGGCAAAGTCGACCTTTAAAAATTGGTTTGTACGCTACAGATCTGATTCTTGTGTGGCATGCTTCTCCGGCAATCTTCTTCTTTTCATCTCTGAAAATTGTAGATCAGTTGAGTTATTAACTGAAAGTTATTATGAAACTGGCTTATAGTTTCACATCACAGCTGTAATTCATACAATTAATTATTTTAATCTTCTCCTTTTCTGGGGTAGTTTTCAAAACTCTGATCTTAAATTACAGTATTTTTATTTTTTTTTGTATGATCGCGAATAACAAAATTATATTGTAATATATGTTTGATAAGTTCAGCAGTTATTTTTTAGACATGCTAGCTGTAATCGTATTGCAAAAACTTTATTTAAATTTGAATTTAATGATAAATTGCAGAAAGCTATTAAGATGTGAAATTGTGGGCTGTTGATAGGGAAACCATAATCAAGTTCTTATTATTTAAGAGCTGTTAAACACACACAATTAATTAGCCAAGTCAGAGAAAAGTTGTACAAATGTCAATGGAAATTCTTTTACAATTGCAATAATTCCATAGAAGTTATTCAATGAGTAACAAGGAGAAGTCTGTTGTAAAAGTCTTTTGTTAGGCTGTAAGGTATATTAAAACCAGTAATTAAAAAATATAATGTAGGCAGCAGTATATAATGTTTTCTAGATTACCTTCCTCTAACTCTGTCATCATGTAGTCCACTTTTCTGTTCCTTTTCCAGCAGTTTTGAATTGAAAAGTAAATAACTGCAAAGGTCAGAAGGATTAATGACAGAAGTATGTACCAATAAGACTTAGTCATCTTGACAAAGAGATCTGCAACATGAGGATGAAAATGTACTAAACATTGTAAATAATTGGTAACTACCGCACCAAGATAGTCCGATAGATGATTGCAACAACTGTATTTGTATAGGATAGAAAGTTTACAAATTTTCAAATAGTTATACGGTACTTAATACCATGTAGTAATATCATGTATTATTACTTCTTAACAATTTTATTACTAGAATAATTTTTCAATCTTAGCCTTGACTAAAAAACTAAATGTAACTCTATAATTGAGTTTCTCAACTACAGCCAACTCATTTGTGTACTGTAGTTTGAACTATTTTATCCATGGGATAATTGCAGACATTTTCCATCACAATCAGTAAAACCCCTTTAAGATCTAGACAGGGCCGATTTACCGAATAGGTAAACTTCTGATAATCCCTTGCGGCCGCGTAGACATCGTAATCTATTTTGTGGCAAGATTCTTACTATTTTCCGCGGTCGGGTTGTTTATACATAATTATCGTCTACCAATATCGAGGCAATATATGAGCAAATCCCGCGGTCGTCAGGAGATTATCATCGTCTACCGCAAATGGGGCAAAATTCTAATCTTTTCCTGCGGTCGTGAGGACATTATCTTCTTCTTGCGCGATCGCAGTCAAATTCTGACCACCCCTCGCGGCCGTGAAGACATAATATCGTCCCCCGTGGTCGTGTGGACATAGCAATCACCTCCCGCGATTGTGGCAAAATGGTAATCATCTCCCTTGGTCTTGTGGAGTGGAGATCATCATCCTCTTCCGAAAATTAGGCAAAGTTATGACCTTTTCTCACGATCGTGTGGCCATTATCATCGTCTTCCGTGACCGTGGCAATATTCTGATCATCCCTCGCGGCCGTGTAGAAATCATTATTGTATCTCTCGTGGTCCTCTAGACATCGTAATCATCTCCCGTGATTGCGGAAAAACGGTAATCATCCCCCGCGGACATATGGAGATCATCGTCTTCCGCAAATGAGGCAAAATTCAGATTTTCCCGTGGTCATGTGGACATTATCATAGTCTTGCGGGATGTAGGCATAATTCTGATCACCCCTTGCGGCCGTGTAAAACTCATTATTGTATCTCCCGCGGTCCTGTATACATCGTAACCATCTCCCGCGGTCATGAATACATGGTAATCGTCTCCCGCGATTGCGACAAAATGTTAATCATGTACCGCAGCTGTGTGGAGATCATCATCGTCTTCCGCAATCGTGGCTAAATTCTTGCTGTTTCCCGTGGTCGTGTGGACATTATAATCGTCTTCCGTGATTATGGCAATATTCTGATCATCCCTCGTGGCAGCGTGTAGACATATTATCGTCTCCCGCGGTCACGGAAACGTCACTGTTGTCATGCGCGATCACGGTAAATTGAATACTCCAGGTAGAAGACAGATTCACACATAATTCCCGGTTCAAAAAACTCCCGAATGATCCCCGGATTTCCCGGTCGGTGGACACCCTGTTATATATATTGCAAAGGGGCGCTACTACAGGGTGACACAAAGGAACCGGACGTTTTTTAAATAAGTAGTACACAGTAGTTACATGGAATAAAATAGTTTTAATACTGTACATAGTGAGGTAAAAATTTGCCATTTGTTACAAAACAGTCATTTTTTGAAAATGACGTCATGCATATGGTGGCCATGTACTTCTCTACAAATGTTCATTCTGGTCTGAAAATCATCTGTAACTCCGGTCAGGAGATCTTGTTCAATGCCATTGATATCTTTTGTGATTCCCAACTTCAAATCCTCTAGATTGCGTGGTTAGTGAGCATAAAAACGATCCTTAAGAAACCCCCAAAGGAAGTAATCACTAAAGGACAAGTCATGTGACCTTAGTGGCCACGGTATGTCACCAAAGAGAGAAATCACCTTGTTAGGAAACATTCATTCAATACTGCACTCACTCTGGCGACGTTTTCGTGTGTTCTCGAAGTTCTAGAAGCCTGGTGGTTTCTTTCTTGTTAAATTTCCAGTTGTTCGGAACCCTAAAACCCACCTTAATAGCGTAATTCGGCTTGAAACCGTTCCATGGCGTTCAATATTAAAATGTCGACTAAATTCCCACTGGGTTTTGTCGACGGATTCACCATTTTGGACTGAAGTTTCGTATGCGAAAACGCGATGGTCTAGGGTCCACTAAGCCATTTCAACAAAAATGGCAAGCCTTACTGAAGGTAATGACATAACCTCAATCTTCCTACAACGTACGACAACAATGGAACAGCTGTTAAAAAAACGTCCGGTTCCTTTGTGTCACCCTGTATTAGTTGTGCCTAGGGCGCTGACAGGGGTAAAAACGGGCCTGGATCTAGAATATGATTCCCTCCTTGGTGAAAATACTATATCCTAAATCCTAAATCATAACCTAAAACCCAGCCAGTCGAAGCTGGAAATTCACAAATAAAGAAATATCAAACTTTATAGTGGTCAAAACAAGAGAGTATAAACCCTGAAGGAATAACAAAAAATAGTTCAAATAGGGGGTAGTTAAAAACAATAGACACGTCTGAGGTGGTGGCTAAAAAGAGAGGGCAGACGTACGCAATTTATTTTATTCATCAAGCAACCTTTATGATTGACTTTGTATTAAATTGCAAGTAATGAACAGCAATGAGAGCACTTTTGTAAATCTTTTTATTAATGTTTCTACATGCAATAGCCTCTCCAAAAACAACATAAACTAGACATAGGGACCTAAACCAACACAACACCGGACATGAATCAGTCTTCACCCTTCCAATCTACAAGCTATAACTTGGCCTACTGAAAGAAAACCATCCTATAAAGGAACTAAATACTTTAACCTCCTTTCAGGACAACTTAAATAACTGAATAATTCAGCCTCTTTCCATAAAAAAAAAAAAAAACTCACAGACTGGCTGCTGGAAAGATCCTTCTAGACTAAAGAGAATTCATCCAAACATGACTTATAGTTCTTTTAAATATGATTAGTTGTAATCAACAAAGAACCTGTGAATCCTATGACACTATACTGCTATTCGATGAACATGTAAATAAAGTATTTTGTCTTTAGTCTATGCTGTTGTAAAACGTGAATTTATAATAGAAATTAGAGGGCAGTTAAGTTTACTAACAGAACACTCCTAAATTATAAGACATCTTTGTCAGAAGTAAAATGAACAATGCAACATTATACTTTTCACAAAAAAACAAGGTAGACAAGTTAAATTTTTAATTAATGAAAACTATCTCCATAATAATCAGCTACCAAATTTTAAAGCTGGCAAAATGTATATTTGATGTCCTCCATCACAGCAGGATCTGTTTTGACCTGAGGATAAAAAGATCTATATTAGATACTACCATTGACTATAAGTTGTTGTATTAATAGTCAAAGATACTACCTAAAATCTGTTATTATAACTAAAATACAGTTTTATACATGAAAATAGTCTTAATTTAGTTGGACCGAAACTTACCTAAACCCACAAAATATACTGGAGCCTTGAAACACTTTCCAAAATTAATCTGAAGCTCAAAACTTTCACCACAGGAATCTCTGTTCAACATAAACACTTTGTTAAAAGACTTGTTAAAAGAAAAGATGGTAAATGTACCAGTCAAACTATTGGTAATCATTACAACAACAAAAGTTAAAATACATAATCTAAACCTTCTTATTCATTAATCTTAATGACAATCTGTTGCACCTAATACTTATGTTTTTCTTTATTTGAAATGTTTTATAGGCAAATGTATAAAGGGGCAGAAGTGATTCTATGTAAAAGTTAGACACACATTTTTGAGTATAGAAATAAAACTTATATGAACCACTTGGTTTTCTTTTTAAAGTCTCTTTGGTTCAATTAGATCTACCAAGCGGACCTAAATAGATATTATAATATTTTTTTTTTATGCTAATAATTCTGTACTAACAGTCTTATAAGGCGCAAGTAAAATGTAAAGTAAAAGAAACTCACCCAAATGTTGCAATTGAACGAACACACCAATCAGATTTAAGTTTATCTATATTTAGGAACTCTTCAAAGGACTCCTCAGTCATTTTTTCTTTTACAATCAGAGGCACATTGTTTATTTTGAGAGTGAACCTCGCCAACTTAACATAATCTTTGGTACTGGTTTGATGAAACTCTGTATTTGTAATTTGTGTTGAATATGTACTAAACTCACTAGATTGATAATCATTTGTGCTCAAATATTCAAAGTCATATGTGCTATAATAATCGTGTGTGCTATCAAAATCAAAGGCAGTCACATTGTCAACCATTATTTGTTTATTTTCTGTTGTAGATTCAATGGTCGATTCTTCATAATCCGTACTATTGAATTGTAAGTAGTTCAATGGACCGAAATCTTCAGATCTTTTAGTAAATTCTCCTGTTGTCAATTCTTCATAATCCATACTGTTGAATTGTAAGTAGTTCGAAGGACCGAAATCTTCAGTTGTTTTAGTAAATTCCCCTGTTGTTGATTTGATTGTCAACTCTTCATCATCCATACTATTGAACTGTAAGTAGTTAAGTGTACTGAAATCTTCAGATGTTTCAGAAAACTCTTCAGTAGATACCACATCTGTAGTAGAAGCCGTTTTAGTTTCACTCCAGAATGTTGAGTCAGTGTTTTTTGAAACTTGTGTGGTTGAATGAAACAAAATATCTGAGTCTTGGGATATTATATCATGCTTGAAATCTTCCGTTACACATTCTACTTCTACAATATCATTGGAGTCTTCAGATGTGTAGTTAAAAAAACAAGTTAGATTGAAAATAGCTTGACTTGATTTCTGCACATACTTAGCTATCAAAATTTTGAATAAAGGACATTCCAAATCATGAACAATAAGCTGACTCGAGCAACCGGTTGATATAGAAATATCCCCTGTGGCAAAACACTGGTGGTAAGAGCTTTTTACATCAGTACAGTTGGACGAGTTGCTTGACCCTGCAAAACCCAAAAGACAGCTACAAGTTTCTGGAGCAGAGCAGACTCCATTAAGACAATCTTCAGAACAGTATGGCTCACAAGAGAACGAATCTTCATAATTCTCTGTGAAGCCTGGATCACACTCACAAGTTTCAGGATCTACACATTTACCATTAACACAGTCTCTTGAACAATAAGGAGAACAGTAGCTTGAATTACCAGTAGAGTTGACAAACCCTCCTATACAAGTGCAGGTGTTGGGAGCTGAGCATTCACTGTTGACACAATCCTCTTGACAAACTGGGACACAAGATTCATTTCCTAGATTCTCATAGCCCTCCCAACAATGGCAAACTTCTGGAAGAACGCAAGAGCCAAACTGGCATTCAGAGCAAACCGGTTCACAAACATAAGGACTGAAGAAAGCATACCCAGCAAGACATTCACACACTTCTGGTTCAATACAGTTACCATTAATGCATCCTAAAGAGCAAACTGGTCCGCAAATATGTTCGCTTTGTTTCCTATATCCATCCAGACATTGGCATACATTTGGCTTTGTACAGTTGGCATTCACACACGGTAAAGAACAGTGAGGTTCGCAAATATAAGGATCATCAGAGCGGATATATCCGTCAAAGCAATTGCAGATTTCAGGTGCCATGCATTCTCCAAATATACACTCTTTTGAACAAACTGGGTTGCAGGAGTATTTGTCATGGTGATCCGCTTCATAGCCAGCCCAGCAAGTGCAGACTTCCGGTGACGTGCATTCAGAATTGACACACAACTTTGAGCAAACTGGTATGCATTCATATGCATCGCTTTTGGTGAAACCGTCATAACAAGTGCATTCTTCTGGTGCAGAACAAAATCCATTTTCACACTTCTTGGAGCAATACGGATTACATCGGTTAGGACTTATTTCATCTTTAATGAATCCAGTGTGACAAGAGCATTCATTAGGTGCAGTACAGTCTGAATTGATACACTCATCACAAACTGGTTTGCATTTTGATCGATCCAAACCTTTCTCATAGCCTTGAAAACATGAACAGGTTTCAGGTGCTGTACAGTTAGCATTTGTACACCCACCAGTGCAGACTGGTCTACAGACGTAGACATCTGAGCGATCCAGTTCATATCCGGCGTTACAACTACATATTTCAGGTGCGCTGCAGATTCCATTTTGACATTTCTTGGAACAGATAGGAACACAAATGTAGTCGCTTTCTTTTGTGTAGCCTTTGTTACAGGTGCAGATTTCTGGTGCTGTGCACACTCCATTTTGACATTCCTTCGAGCACACAGGTTTGCAGGAATATTGATCTATCTTCTCATATCCTCTGTGGCAAGAGCAAACTTCAGGCTGGGAACAAACTCCGTTTTGACACGGCTGGCTACAAACAGGAGTGCAGTTGTATCTATCCATAGGGTCAATTTTGTATCCGAACACGCATGAGCAGGTTTCTGGTGCGGTGCATTCTCCATTTTGACATTCCTTTCTGCAAATCGGTTTACAAACTTCTTGATCTTTCTTGTAGCCATCGTTACAAGTGCATTGTTCGGGTCCGGTACACTTCCCATTGCTACATCCCTTCGAACAAAACGGGATGCAAGTATACTTGTCCGAAGCATCTTTTACAAATCCTAGATTGCATGAGCAGGTTTCTGGATGTGAGCAGATGCTGTTGTGACAAGATTTGCTGCACACTGGAGTACAGACATACTGAGACTTGTATGAGTAACCAGAGTTGCAGCTACATGTACTTGGCGCTGAGCAAAACCCGTTGATACAGTTTTGATAGCATATTGGCTCGCATTTACCATTATTACTGCGAAACCCATCACAACAGAATTGTTCTACGTATTTATCTTCAACAGTCTGGAAAAAATAATATTAGTATTATAAAATTATTTATTATTATTATTTATGGAGTTATCAATTAGATCAATTTTAGTATTTGTGTATCAGTTTGGGCTTGAAAACAAAGTCGAGAGGCGATTGTGATTCATTTGGTTAGGGTAACTGCAAAACCAAAGGGGGGAAATGTAGAAACGGTCACCCACAGCCCTACTTCAGGACCGAACCCTTTTGCGCTTTAGTTTGGACACCAACTAGCACTGCCCAAAAATCCTGCTTCCCACACTTTTTAGTTACTAAAGTATTCTTAATAATAGTTTTTTTTTTTTTGTTCTTTAACTTGCATGATTCTGCTAATATTAAGAAAAAAGTTAATTAAAATTGAAAATACTGTTTTATATACAATTAAAAAGGTTTTTTTATACAGGGTGTTTTTTTAAAAACTTGCATCTTTATTTATGTAAAAACCACAATAGATAGAAATATGCAGTTTGTGGGAATCATCTATTGACGTAGGGGGACCAATTGTTTTGAATTCAACGTTACATTCACATTCCCCCCCCTTTCCCCCCCTGCCACCAACTTATTTTTTTTAAATAGCAAGGTACCCCTTGTGACATATCAAATAAAATAGCATAAAAAAAGAAAATGTTTGATGAAAAAAAATTGAAAATCGGTTCATAAATTTGTGAGATATTCCCCCCCTCACCCCCCCCGGAACTTAATTTTTTTTTAATAGCAAAGTACCCCTTGTGACATATCAAATGAAAGAGCATGAAAAAAGAAAATTTTTGGTGAAAAAAAAAATTAAAATCGGCTCATGAATTTGTGAGATAATCACCCCCCTTTTCCCCTACCAATAACTTGTTTTTTAATAGCAAGGTACCCGCCCTTGTGACATATCAAATGAAAAATAAATTTCGCCAAAATTTTTCTTTTTTCATGCTCTTTCATTTGATATGTCACAAGGGGTACTTTGCTATTAAAAAAAATTAAGTTCCAGGGGGGTGAGGGGGGGAATATCTCACAAATTTATGAACCGATTTTCATCAAACATTTTCTTTTTTTATGCTCTTTTATTTGATATGTCACAAGGGGTACCTTGCTATTTAAAAAAATTAAGTTGGGGGCAGGGGGGGAAAGGGGGGGAATGTGAATGTAACGTTGAATTCAAAACAATTGGTCCCCCTACGTCAATAGATGATTCCCGCAAACTGCATATTTCTATCTATTGCGGTTTTTATATAAATAAAGATGCAAGTTTTTAAAAAAACACCCTGTATATTGTATTTTAAAAGTTTGCATTTGTACACTAACTTGAGAGTGCAAGAAGTGAGAAAACCCCACTGGTTCAAAAATAAGTATAGCCATATTTCACCCCCCTTCTAGTACATGATCAAATTCTACATGACTCTAATTGACTTGGACTATGTATGTTTCATTTACAAATACAATCAAACAGCATTGGTAGTTATACTCCTTAATGAATTACTTTCACAAATAATAGTGTTTATTTTAATATAAATTTTAAAATATAATAACTTATTATTAAATACTGGCATTCTAATGATTGTCATATTTGATGTCAGCCCAGAAGCAACAGAAATGTATCCATCGTCTTCACAGCAAAGTCAAAACATATGGCAGCAATTAATTGACCACAGCCGAGTTGAGTATTAACAAGTTTGAAACAATCTAATAATGGATACTGAGGAAATTCCTAACTACAAGTAAATACAAAACAGAAATACAAATTCACTTACATTAGCATTAGTTATACAAGATTACAAGATGACAATTAAGTCTTGAGGCTACTTTATATAGTTTTAAAACTTAAAGAGATTTCACAACCAAATTTGGCATATCATTTCTGGTAATAGCATTGACTATTGGATTAGTCAAGTATTAAGCTACTTTTTTGTGTACATAAAACACAAAAAACTTCGGATCGGTACTTGGATGTGACATATAGGGAGTAAGTTGAAAATCTTAAAGGTAAGCATAGGATATGTACATCAAATTAAAGGTCTTGATAAACTTAAAACAATGCCGCAAACCGGGTCTCAAATGGACAATCGAGTAAAAAATAATTGCTGTTCAAAGATTCATTGAATTTGCAATGCTATTAAGCTACCTCCTCATGGTAGCACCCGCTAATAGACGGAAGAATATGATAAACGTAAGCATAGGTTGATACGCACATCAAATTAAAGGTCCTTATTAGTTGAATGCAATGCCACAAATTTGAGCTCAAAAGAACAACTGAGTAAAAAAACTGCAGCGGTTTAAAGATTCAAAATGGCAGATTTGATAAATCTTTGAACGGCTGCCCTTTTTGACTTGGTTGTTCATTTGAGGTCCGGTTTGCGGTATTGTTTTAGTTCAACAAGACATTTAATTTAATTTACGTATCAACCTTTGCTTAACTTTTAGATTTTCAAATTACTTTAGTCTCTATGGGCTGTCCCCCATTTGTGACATCCGATCATCATGTGCAAAAAAAAGTAGCTTACTATTAATTAGTAATGATATGCCAAATTTGGTTGTGATATCTCTTTTCGTTTTAATGTTATAAAGTAATCCTAAGACTTAATTAATTGTCACTCTGTATATGTATTCTTTCTTTGAATAATATCATTGACTATACACAGGGTATAGTCAATGATAATATCCATAAATTGTATGATTGTGGTTTTTTTTATTATGTACATAAGCAAGTAAAGAAATAAAATGATTAATTAGTTAATTTAAACTGTAAAGAGATTGATCTGAAAATTATTATAATTAATTAACACAGTTTCAGAATGCTAAATATTATACCTTCGTACGTTGGACTTGTACATTCTCCCAATATTCATCTCTGCATTTTTTAAGCCTCAAAAATCCACATCTCCTTTTTCTAGTCTTTCGAACAGGTTCATATCGCCACTCTGTTACTGTCCTGTATGTTCTGAAAATGTGTGCAGTAGGTTTTTGTTAATCATTGGCACTGCACTATACAATAGGCCTATGTTAATAAAGTAGAGATATCCCCTTTGGAAACCTTCACGTCTTTTATGCATATGAACTAAAATAGTAGGATATTGAAAACTAAAGGATGGAACAAAACTTGGAAACACACACTCATTGATTGGCTCATTGGACTATGTTCTAATTGAGTGGAAACTGGTTACAGGTAAATTAGGGCCACCCTCAAGCTTTCGCTATACTCAAGCAACCTATTCCAAATCTGAGACCAACGTTATTCTTCATCCACTACTATTTTAGCCCGTTCCCAACCCTAAACCTTAAAAACACATTGTCACATAAACGTACAGCATTGTCGCATAATTAAAAAAGTTTTTGAATGAAAATTCATGTTCCTGCCAAGTAAAAATGGCATTCTGTGATTAGAATCCTATGGCTTCAGTCGTAAACCACTATTGAAGTTTATCACCAGTTGACAGACAAGAGTAAAATGTTTGTACATAGAAAACGTGCAAATGGGGAACAGGGAGTTAGGAGTTGATCTTCAACCTTTACACAATGTTTTCTTAGGTGTAGTGCGACTGCTGTTGTTTATCAATCTCATTTTAAACAGCAACCAAAGTTGAGTGTGATTCTCGATGTAAATGAACAAGAGAGATTGCCAGACCAGGGGACATCTCTAAACGGCTATCAAGAACTACTGTCCTGGAAGTCTGAAACACATGGATCTGCAAGCAAAGAATCTTTAAATTCAATCAATGTCACGATGGAAACGTGTGCTGCCATCTGGCCCCATAATGCAAACCTATATGGCCTCTGGCAAACTACTACATTCTACATGTACGCCATTTGTGCACGTGTTCTACATCAAAACACTTTTCTTCATACTCATCTGTCAACTGGAAAAAGTAATCAAAAGGAATTGACCTCATTCCTAAAGAAAATTAACTAAGCAGCAGGAGATTTGATAACATTTTAAAAACTATCAAAATTCAAAAACTGTCAGCTGCAGAATTGTGTCAATCCATACACAAATAATGCCAGTGCGTGGCGAGGAGCCTCGTTGAGGCGTACAAGCAAACTGCAGATTTAAACGACAAAACGGCCCCAATCAAAATAGTTGATTATGTTGATTCATTGATCAAAATGTTACAGATTCTCATAACCAGGTAGTTTTAGATGAAATTCATAAAAAAATCACAAAGCCTTAAAACATCAGTATGAGGTGTTGGTATTTTAGAAAGTTTCTTGTAAAAAAACTGTATAAGTTATGATGTTTGCTAACAAAAGTGTATAGTTTCATTCCATTTTTTTACATAAGGCTATTTGAGTTTGTGTTTTTTTTTTTATTTTCTTTAATATCATTTCTAAAGTGACTAAACTACAGTTTAAATCTGATATTCCTCAATGTGTATAAAAATCTTGTGACAGACACTGAAAACCTGTTTGGATTGCAGGTTTGTTGCTACAAGGGTTTCACTTACGTTTTCCATCGTGTACAGACAGCATTGCAGTCAACGTGGCTAGTATGTAGAGAAAACGCCAGAAAAATCCATATCCACCTAAAGAAAATTTTAAAAACTCAATACTTAGTAACTTATTTTTATTAATTATTTTAGGTCTACACCCTTGAACCCACTTGGCTGTTTGTTAGATTTCAAAGATGTTAAAGATATAGTTAAATAATAGTTATAATATCAATAACTATTACAGTATTTTCTAAAAACAGCACTTTGGAACCTTGGATGACTAAAAGAACATAAATGATACATGTTTTGTCCAGTTCAAGACCTAAAGTTGAGAAAAATTTCAGAAAATTTTACTCAGTGGTGTTTTGGATTTACTAACAGATACAAATACAGTAGAGTCCCGCAAACTCGGCACTCGATAACCCGGCAGTCTGGATAACTCGGCCATCACCTGGCTTAGAAAATTAGTGATTTTTTGAGTCCGAGTTAAACATGGACTCACGCCAGCTCAAGTCAAATCATTCTCAGCTCGTACAAATGATTTTTTGTACTCTATCTGATGACTTGATACTAACTTGTAATATATATATAAATAAAAGAGGTAGTTAATAAGCTTAAAAAATTGTATTATTCTTGTTTTTAACCCTAGTTCCCGATAACCCGGCATTTCACAAACTCGGCACCCTTCCAGTCCACATTACGCCGAGTTTGCGGGACTCTACTGTAGCTACAAAGACAGAGACCACATCATTTTATGAAATAGATTCTATATTTTCGTAACTTAACTTTCAATCAGTTTAATTTTTTATTAATGAATGGATAAAATGGTACTAGGATAAAATGTTCCTAGTAGCAAAGTTTTCCAAAGTGTACACTGTCAGAGACAATTTGTCTAAAGTTCCAAACACAAGCCGTAAAATCTCTTTCATCCCATTTTATCGCACATTTACACCTGTAACTGCATATAAGCAACGTGTTTGTCATAAATATGTAACCTTTTGCCATTGGCTCTCTGTCGTTGTTTACCAAAACATTTTGTTATTATTTTATTTTCTCTGTTAATACCTAAAGGTATTTTATTGATGATGAAAATTTATCATAGGCCACTACTTTTCATAGATGAAATAAAAGAGGTCTGTTAACTAACACTGTTTATTTACAGCATATAATTTACTTCAAGTGGTTAACAATATCTGCATATAGTAACCCTTTGTTTGGCAACTAGTTTTGGTTCTTCTGAACCATCATCAGGCCTCAAGGTGTCAGGTAATACCTTCATTTGAAGATCGTTAACAAAGTTCAATTAATAAAACACGTACAACAGTTTTTTGTAACCTTATGTCTTCTCTATGTTTTTGTGTTTTGTTTAAGTCTTGTATGTTTTATTTATTGAACTCTGTTAACGACCATCAAATGAAGTGATTGCCTGACACCTTAAGGCCTGATGATGGTTTATAAGAATCGAAACTAGTTACCAAAACAGCAACAAAGGATTACTATTTGCAGGTGATTGTGAACCATTTTATAAGTATAATCTTTGACTATTAATACAACAACTTCTGTATCCAATAGTCAATGGTATAATACAAAAGTCCAAAGAATAACAACTCTTAGAAAATACATTTTACCTTTGAGAGAAAAATAATAAATATGGGATAGCATATAAGTGTAAATCTATACTACAATTGTGTTGAAAAAATCTTTGATTTTATTTTTGCAACTCCACAAACTAAATATTAAATCAAGTTTTTCCCCTCTATGGTATTGGCATTTCTTTTGGTCCTTCTGAATATGATCCCCTACACATGATTGTGCAACCTGATTCTTATTTAAAGACAATTATATTTTTATTTTATTTTGTAGTTCTACAAAGATTTGAGGGAAGACACATTGAAATATGATACGAGTAATTGAAATAAATACTTGTGATAATTAGTTTGATAAATATATAAGGAAAAACTTACTTGTCCATTTGGAGTGATCTCTAAGCAGGATGGAAGATTCTACCGGACATCATATCATCTGTCCATTTATCAGATGACTAATAATCAGCTGTTTTGTTATCTCCAGAATTGTTACACTGTAGCCTAGCGTTTTAGAATTTAGCAACAAATTTACAAATATGATAATTTTTATCAGACTACATGCAATAATAATATGATTGGAGAATATATATACTTAGGGTAAAAGTTTATGTAAATGGGCAAACAGTAGCTACCATTCCTATAGAGACAAATTTAATTGCATCACTTGCTTTTAAAATCTCTTCAATATAGTTATCAACGAACACGTTTTGTCTGCGGCTTAGTTCAATACACATAAGTGGTGATGAAATTAATAACCAGCTAGAGACCAAGCAATATTTACCAGAGTTCCCTGAAACCACATTTTGGAGAGAAAAAAGGATGACTTCATTTAGATTTAAATAAAATCTGTGTGTTTTGAAATGATAACCAGGATATCCAGCCCACAGAGAAAAGGAAAAATTGTACATGAGTTTTGATGACTGAGAAAGAGATAAGACTGGTAAAAGGTAAAAATGGTTTTCTTCAGGGCTGTGCGAATAGTTCGAAAAACGAATCGAATCCGAATCTTTTTAGAGATTCGATTCGGATTCGAGAATGAATCTACTGTTTCTAACTGGATTCGGATTCGGAATCGATATTCGAATTTACTGGTAAGAGATCCGGGTTCGGATTCGATATTCGAATTTCTTGGAAATAGATCCGAGTTGGGATTCGATATTCAAATTTACTAGATTCTGATTGAATATAATTTTCAATATAATTTTTTAGACACTAAAAAACTACTTGTGCGCTCCGATTTGCTGTTGACTGGTTCATGTTAGGAACCTGACCAACTTGGTGTTAGGCTTTAGGCACATTAGTGTAGGTCGCATTTGAACCCTATCTTGGCTATCAGTAAACTTAACCTCACAGTGTTAGTTGTTACTTGTAATAGTAATGCAGACATAGGGTTGTTTGGAGGATTAACACTGAGGTGTATAATAGGCTGGGCCTATGTTTTAGACTACACAAATTGGTAGTCCATCACTTTTAGCGAGTAACTTAGGCCTTGGTGGTAGGCCTAACTAATGCCCAATTTTTTAGTTTCAAAACTTCAAATAGGTAGGCCTAAATTTTATAACTTTTTTATTTGTCCCATTTCAAGAATTTTTTTAACTATAATATTGGTATAATTACCTCGTCAAGTAATCCAAATGATGTGTTAGGCTAAATTTTTTTAAGCAATTCCCTAAGTTATTTCAGCCCCAGAAAATGTGGTCTAAAAATGTGAAAATTAGTACTGCTGACTTTCCTCGGATTCGGATTTGACTCTGAACAGGTTTAAATATTCGGATTCGATAACAGCTTTAAATTTCAGATTCGGATTCGATCCGGGTTCGATAATGGCTGTAAATTTGAGATTCGGATTCGACCCAGATTCGACTCGGGATTAATTAAAATATTCGGATTCGATCCGGATTCGATAAAATCTGTACAGCTATGATTCGGATTCGGATTCAAACCAAAATTTCTGGATTCGCACAGCCCTGGTTTTCTTAGAAAGGGTTGTGTAATTGCTTTTCCCCTTATGGCTTCCATCTAATTAATCCTTACCTTACACTATTCCGTTTTGTGCGGTCTTTGACGTAATTAACCAACTAACGGTGAGATCTATACAGTAGTATATGTGCTGTTTGGTATTTTTATAATTGCTATCATATGTTGCATATTTGATGTTTGTTTTTATTGTATTGTTGTTTTGAGCTTGAAGACTTACTTTTGGGATCTTGGCTAATAAAGTATCTATGTTTAACTGTGGTGTGAGTTTTACCTTTCACTTCAGTATATAGATTAGAATAGATATATACAGTATTTAAATCTCTACACATTTAGCCATTGATAGCACTTAATTTTAATGAGGATTAACAACTGGTAGAAATAAATAAAACAATATTCAATAAATGGTATATTTTGTACTCTTAATGTGTGATGTACCTTGGAGAATAGATCAAAATCGTGAATATTTAAAGAAAATCTCAAACCTCTTTCTCTCCCATTATTGTCAGCCCACTAATCAGATTTTAGTGGAATTTGATAAGCGTGTGGAACAGGTATGAATCCTGTGTTTTAACATGTTAAGCATATTGAAAAAATGTCTTTAATAAAATGGATGTAACAAAGAAGTAAAGCTAAGTTCTCATTGAAAGCAAATACTTTTAAAGCTTATACGTAACACTTAACTTTCAAAGCTCAAAATAGATATTTTAAACAAAAATGTAAACAATTTGTCTCTAAAATTAGAAAAAAATATTTCTTTTACCGGGAAAGAAAGAGATTATACAAAAATATTTTCTCTTTTTTATATTGATCCTCATTTAAAAAATAATTTTATATCTCAACACTTTGTACACAAGTTAATTGTACTAGCTAAGTATTATCTTCGACTAGTTGCATCTTTTTTGTACACTAACTAAAATAAAAGCAAGAAAACAGTTGACTTAGTTTTGTTTACTATTTATTAGAATAATTGGGGGAAAATGTTACTAAATGGTCTCTTTAAAAGGCATATGTTTGAATATCAAACTACAAATCGCATTGATCTACACATATTTTTACAAAACTAACACAAATACAATACTTAAAGTATAAAACTAAATCTATGTAAAACTATTCACACTAACTAACTATTCCTGAAACTGACTAGTAATAGTTCATATTTGATTTGTACATATTTTAAGCTTATGAAAGTGTTCATTAACCTAAGAAGTTTTGTTCCTGTAACACACTATTTGTTATTTTTTACCCTTCGTAACTTGATAAAATAAATCAATAGGCAAATTGGTAGATTCTGTATTGATTGTTTGACATTAAATCTTAGAAGTAAATAGAATACGAAATAATTGTATGCTTGCCACCGACCAGTTGACAATGCTAATTTAATTAGCAGCTGTATGGCAAAGCATATTTTCTTTAACACAATAATATGGAGCATAAAATATTCACACAATATAACGTCTATAACGACATAGACTAATAAATTGATTTATTTTGTAATTTTGATTAACCAACATTAGAAAATCTTTTACATAACGTTTTACACAATTGAAAAAAATCAATAATATAATGTTGAAGCGTCTACTGGTACCTATAATATTTGTACATTCGAGCTATAAGGATATCAAATTGTATAAGTTAAAATGCCTTACTACGATTTGCACAATTGCACTTGTAGTTACTATGAGTGTTAGAGTAACACTCAAGATTATTGTTATATTTTATAAGCTGCTATTTATCTTTTAACAATCTGTCAAGCTCTGACTTTAATCCTTTGCGCAGGGATTATTCACTGGTTAAGTTACAGTCTTCCTATTTTTCTCAAGTTTTCTCCTTCTTGTGAAGACATTTATCAAAATTTAAATTTGTATAGTTTTAACCACCATAGTTTATGGCGAAAGCACAATATAAAAAATGTATGGCAAGTAAAAAAAAGTTATAAATGCCTGAGTTTACGGTAACTCATAAAGCATTTACTCATTCTGTCAACTTCTACTTGAGCCGTTCACAGTTTATTATATGGGCCTCTACCACAAAGCTCTGCCCGTCAGGTAAACCCATGATTTGCACACCAGAACTGACCATTAGTCAGCTGATTTTAGTCCGCTGTTATTATCAGCTGTTTTTGTTGAGTTAAAACTTATAGATCGTTGTAAATGAACGCTCGGTAATGTTACTCTTGGTATTATAATATACTCTAACTTACAGTATAAACGAACATTTAAACAGGGGTTTTCACAATTGAGGAACAAAATAGATCTAAATCACAACTAATTAGTTTTAAAGCATAAAACCAACTACATGCAATCATAGAAACTAATCCCTGACCTTTTACTTAGGTATGTACTGTACATAAAACTTCAGAAGGCAGAATCTTGTACAACTATTTTATTTTTATAGTCTGGATTGTAGTTTGTACTATTAACCGCGACTGTATTTAGCATTTGGGCACCCCTAGGCCCAATAACTTATTTCCCTCTAGTCTTGAGTAACTTTCCTAAAAACCTTTATAAAAAAATAATCAGAGACACCACTCTACGATGCACATTTACCATCAGAGATTCTTTTAGCAATTTACTATGTTCTTTGTGAAACAAAATGTTGTTTTTAAAGCAGTTCTAGGAATTTTATTTATTAACCCTTCCCGGACGGTCCATTATGTATACAGACAGGAAAATTAATACAAAATATCTTTTTTACATCTGTAATCTTTAGAATGTTGTAAATAGTTGACCTATGCAGCACTTTTGTCCAAAATATTTTTTTTTATTTTCTTTTTATAGGTAGGCCTATATATGTATTTTTTTATTGTTTATTCTTATTATAGAAAAACATTCCTAGTACATCGGTTAAAGATAGGCCTATAATTGAATAAAAGACCGTTTTTACAAAGATTAATGTTGTTATATATAACCAACTATAACAATAGACGTTGTAATAATCGGCGGATATATATGACTACCGTCCAGACAGACAAAATACCGTCCGCTATGCACAAAATGATAGAGGATATATCCGCCTATAGTCCGGGAAGTGTTAAATAAATGAGGAAAGCTTACGTTTGAGGGACTGAAAAACAAACTATCCAACCTGCAGGCAGAGCATTCCCGCAGCAAAGCATTGCGACTCCCAAGGGCAACATATTCCAAAAGATTTCTTTTACATTTCCTCCATTTTTTTTACAGTAAAATAAAATCTTTAAAATATAAATTGGCGTTCAATGAAAGTTTAATAATTCAACCTTAGCAGGAAAACTTACGCTAAAAACGGTGATTGTTTAAGCAAGGTCCAGTTTTACCAACCTAACCTAATCATATTAATAATATATTCAAACCACAACTACTAAATGGAAGCCTTAAAATCTATGCTTGACTATTTTGCATTTTTGATATTTACAAAGATAATTATGTATAAAATCGGGCACTCTTTATATGGCTATACACTTCATCTACAGGTACTTGTTGTTAAGGAATGTTCTCTCATAAAAAAAACTGGCACAGTAAAGCTAATGTCTAAAACTGTATTTAAAGAAAACTGAAGTCAGTTAGAAGTTTAACCCAAATAATTTTCTTCATGAATCGTTTTACAAACATCATTCGTAATTCTACTAGGCCCTAACTAAATAATTCAGTTACGATTGATACTTAAAATTCAAACCTTAGAAACATACATTCATTTCCTACATCACAACTAAATTGTTGCCTAAATTAAAATACTATCAAAAATAATACTTTTACATCAAATTACAATTGATTACTTAGATAATATACAAAATAAAAAGTGTATTAAAATGTGATAAACAAAATTATTTCTTGAAATGTATGAAAAAGAAAACATTTCATTCAACTTGGATATATTTCATCTACCCTCTAATACAGAATACAGTAATAATTATTATTAATGATTCTCATTTAAACCGTTTCATTACCGTACTAAGTTTATAGAGTAAAACTGAAAACCTCACAAATGTTTGAACAATATCAGGAACTTAAAGAAGAGAAAAAATATCACAGTGTAAAAAAAGTCTTTTTTTAATACTAAACTAAAATAGTTTAAAAATGAGTATTTTCATAAATGTAAAGTTGACAAATCAAGCTAGGTTAAAGCTATAAATAATTGCCTTTTTTATGTGTAAAAATATTATAATAACTTAAAACATGTTTTGATACGTATAGACTACGTATTACAATCGGATAGACTTTTTACCAACTACAATAGAAACTGCTAATCTGTGGGTCTTATTCCAAATATTTACAGCTTTGCTCAGCTGTTAAGAGATTCCAATTAAAGTAACTACAGTATGTTTGCACTCCGTTCAAAAATTGACTTATCGTAAGATCTGACTAATATGACTTTTAAAAGTGTAGTAGAATATTTTATCTATAAGCAAAATTTTGAATAAACTGATGAGCAGGAATAAAACAAGGAGTTTGTCTTGATGGAGTTTGAAATTTATAAATCAACTAATTTGTTTCATATTACCAAACAATAAAAGTGCTACATATTTCAGCGAACTGCCACTTTCAAACAAACTACAGTCCGGGAATAAACATAAAATCTGCTTGAATAGCTTTGTTTAATCTTAATGGTTTAAACACACCACACATTCATTTACCACTCGTACTGGCAATGTTGCGTACCCATTACAGGCTTATCTAACTAAAATTATTTGTCTATATGTTGTGTTTTAAAAGTATGTGTCCTTTTTTTTTAACCATCACCAAAACTATTGGCAAGCAGATTTAATGTTTATTCCTTAACTGAAGTGTTTGAAAATGGCGGCTTGTCAAAACATGTAGTGTTTTAATAGTTACAATTTGGATCCGCCGACAGGTAATGTAAAACCGATTAGGAAATAAATATTAATATTGCAGTTCAGGATCTATTACAATAAATGTTAATAAAATTACTAACTCACAACGTTTTTTTTTTTAACACAATTGTTTTGCACTGTAAAGGCAGATTTTTAATCCATATTAAAATAAAGCAGCTTATAAGTTATCCAATGAAAGACAAGGGTTGTTTGAAAAGTAAAGTTTGATGCTTTTAATGTAAAATACTTTACAAGGCCTTTGTTTAAAGAACTTTTATATTTGGATTTCTAAAATATTTCTGTATATTATTTATGATATCCCCAAATTTATTTTAAGATTTATCTTATCTTCAACAAAAAGCTTTTGAACTTTTAAAGTCAAAAGCCGCGTTTACATCGGAGTTTAGAACTTTTTGTTGGTAACACTTGTTTCTAACAATTTGTTAGTAACAAAAGTTTACAACAAATCGTGCACTTTTCTTTGATTTTGATAGAAACAATTTAATCACCGTTCCTAAGAATACTAGGTCAGTTCTTCTCGAGATGTCTAAAGAAGAGGATCTTTTACTGTTCACGGCGGCATGTGTGATCCTATTTACGCAGCGGGGACCGAGATGGTACTATGTGAAACCGTCGCAGCAAGCTAGATCAAAATACAGTGGCAATGACCTGTTAGATGATTTTAAAAGGGATGATATCGACCTCCTGTCGGGCTGAGGACGGACAGGAGTTTCAAAACCTTTAGAGAATGTCTAGTGCTGATTTTAAATATTTTACTCTTATGATTGGCCAGAAGATTAGCATAATAGACACCAATTACAAGAAGATTGAAGGCTATTTCTGTAAAAGAAAAACTTGCAGTTTTTAATAGTATTATTGGACCAGAAGGACTGACGCTGAGGGCGCAGGGTGTGGTCATGTGGTGTGGGTACGGTAGCGGGGAAGTGTTGTTAACAGCGTAGAAGTACTGAAACATGTGTTCCTAAAAAAATGTTTCCACAAGTTCCAAACACCCTTTGATCTTTACCGACTTTTGGTGGGAAACAAAATTTCTGTTGTAAACACTAAAAACAGTTTCTAAAATCAAAATGTTTTTTTACAAAAAGAAGTATTTCTTGGTTTGTTAGGAATATTTTTTGAAAACATGTGTTTCCAACTCCGGTGTACACGGGAGTAAATCAACTAATTAATCTGTTTTCCATACCTTTGCTTTGTCTATGATTCACTCTACTGAACTCCTAAGTGGCCATATAGTGATCATTTTTGTGAGATCAACACTCAACTAAATAAGGCCATGACAGTAGGCCTTCATTAGTGGAACTCAAATGTTAACAGTTATTTCTTGGCTGTCCGTTTTATGCATACTCCATCTGAAGATGTCAAGAGGCACAACAGTATTAAACATTTTAAGATCTTACATGCTCCCAATTCAGCTACCCATTCACAATAAATTGTATCCTCCTGAGAGGAAAAGGTTGTTTGAGTCCTGAAAAATAACCATTGTAAACAGCTTCCCAGGTTATGGAGACAGATTTTTTCCCAAGATTGGTCCTCTTCCTCTATCTAAATTTTGTCGGAAACAAAACAGCTTCCAGATACTTAACCCATTATTGGGAGTGGGTGAAATAAATCTTCCACAGGAGTAGTTAATACCTCCACTTTCAGAGTTGGAAAAATTAGAGGTTAAAATAGAAAATGACAGGATCCATCATATATCTATGGTGTAAAGTATCAAACTATGTATCGACTAGTCAATCACATTGACTAAGCAAAACTAGCGGTGAACTGTTTGGCTACATTTTGATTACTTTCTATGGGCTGCCCAGTCTTCACAGCGAGCAAAGCATTTAATTTAGCTCTGTGCAGAGAGATCTTTTGTTTTGTTTCAGATAAAACTAAAACAGAAATTGAAATTAAAGTTGTTTAACAACTTGAATAATCTCTAGAAGCTAGCTGAAGAAGAAATTGTGTACTGATCTTACTTCACAATTCAGAGCTACGCAGTTGTCTTTGACACCATAAAATAATAATAAGGCTCACAGCAACAGTAGGCATTCAAATTATCACGTTTAACATCCAAGATATGTCAAGAGTTAAACATGGACACTTAATATTTTCACAGTTTAACTGTAAACTGGACCAAACTTTTCAAACAACCCTCATGAATGGCACTAGTTTATGTAGCCTACGGCACCTGGAGTGGTTTAGAATGCCTCTCTCGCAGCGGCCACGAACGCTGCCATCTCAGCCGACTGCGGGGGATTACCCCCTCCCCTACCTCAGGATCCACCTTGTGCAGGACCCCCGTGTTGGTTCAGCTCCGCCTTGACACGCCGAGCAATGTGGCTGCGTGTGTGCTTGCGTAAGTGGTCTTTTCTGTAGAACCTGAAACATCAAATTAGATTAAGTTGGGAGCCATGGTACAGCATAACTTATCTGTTTATTTTGTTGTTTTTTTCTGTAATCATTGATTGAAATAATTCAGGTAACTTTTCAGGGTTACCAAAAGTCATTAAAAAATTAATTTTTACACTTTTCAAGACAAAAACTTAACATTTCTAGATAACAATTTGTTGTTTGAAAAAAGTATACTAACTTATTAGTAGGCCTACCTACTAAGTACATTAGAAAGAGTTCAAAGATACTATACCAGTATTAACTGTAATTAAAAAGGTAATTATCTATAAAAACATGTTTAGTAATGTATTATTGTGTAATGAAATATATTGTTTAATAGGCCTAGTTTGGTTCATTGTCCATACTGGCGTCCTGCGCATAGATATTATTAGACTAATGGTTACCAGGAATTTAAAATCTTTGATGAAAATCTAAAAACAAAAATACCGGTAGCCTACTAACTTAGAATTTGAGTGCATTTTTTTAAAACAATATGAAAAAAAAAACTATGAAAATATATTCTTACTATTATTTAACCTATTTTAGCCTATTTGTTTATTCCTTAAACCAATGAATTTTTTTGTGTTTTAAAAAGGGAAACTGTATTGAATCAATTCTAAATTCTGTATTAGGCCTTGTCACAGTGTACGCATGGGGGTGTGAACAAAAGAAGAGAAAACTATGGTTCTTTAATTTCGCTGTTCAAAATATTTACACATCCATAATTGATTAAAAACAAACTCAATTATATCACTTAGCATGTTCACATTATCTTTCTTTTAATTCTGATGGGGGCTGAGAGGTGAATTTTAAATTAACTGGTGATTCAGGCATTTGTGATAGTTGAGCTTTTTGAAAAAAACGGGCAAACAAATTTTGAAAACATTATTTACAGGAAATATATGGCATGAACTATAACGTTTTGGGTGCACTGGTGCACGTTACCGTCCCCCACCTTATTCAATTATTAGGCCAAAATTATACTTTTCAAGGGTGAGTATTTTCCACTGTTTACTTACCGACTAGAGACACGTACATCTACTTTTACAAAAGGTCATTTAAATATCTCAATAGATATTATGTCCAACCGATTTTAACCCATCAACCTGTTGATTCATTATAACATGGCAATTCTGGACAAGTAAGGTGGAGACTTACCCTTTTCCACACTCTGGACAAACATGGCGCTTCTCTCCTGAATGTATGACAAAGTGTAAAGTTAGTTGCTCCTTGCGTTTGAACGCCTTGCAGCAAACAGTGCAGACGTACGGACGGTCGGGGTTGTGGCTCTGTTTGTGTCTCGTCAGATGGTCCTTGCGTTTCAACCCGGCTCCGCAAATGTCACAGAAGAACCTGAGAAATAAGGTTTAGGCATTAGATCCCTAATAGATTCAGAAACTTACTGAAATTACGTCTTACAAAAATGAACCATAACATTCTTGACAAGTAAATAATCAGTCAATAGAACCTTAATAGGTCAAGTCAATTCAACGATTTTATTTTCACATAAACGTTTACAGTTGAGAATATTATGTTAGGATTGAAATAGATAATTTTTCTCAATATTTAAATGCTACAAAGCTACGGTATCTTACATTTTCAACTTAATTAAAAACATTGTTATGTAGGTCTTCTGTCGAGACACAGATAGGCAAGTAAAAAGTATAAAAACAGGCAGAGATATTAATTTACCAGTTGCTTTTTCTAACAAGGTTTAGTTTAGGCCTAGAGATTAACTTAATTCTGTACAAATAAAATCCATTCAAAAAACATGAGTCGAGTTACATTAAGATTAAACACCAACCTGCGTTCCATTGTATGCCCAAGTAGATGCTGTTCCAAAAGTCCTTTGTCGGGATAGGCCATGTGACATTCTGGACAACAATACAAAGTGGAACCATCCAACGCTGTGGTCAATCGTATCTCACCCGGTTTAGGTTTAGGTTTTTTCTCCTTGTAGACAATCTTCTTTTTCTTTTTTCTCTTTGAAGGTGATAATGGCGATTCCTCTTCTTGCTGATGTAGTTGATTGTGGTCGATCTGATCCAGAGGCGGCTCCATCGATGTTTCCACATCTCTTTTGTTACTCGTGTTGCTTGTAGTTTCAGGCGATGAATACTTTAAAAAGTGATGAAGCGATATCGGTAAAGTCGATGCTGGGAGATGCGAAAGATAGTCGGCAACTGTAGATCCGGGTGTGGCAATGCTTTGCCATGTGGGAGGCATTCCCGGCTGAATGATTGTGTATTCAGAGTTTTGATCGTGCTCGGTCTTCTGTTCAGACTTTATTTCTCGCATGTTTTCTTGGTACTGACCTTGTTTTATATCCTCTTGATAAACATAGTGAATAGTTTCATTCTGGTGGGGAACAGGGCTCGATTCTGATACTGTGACCATTCCGTTATCAATTTGAGTGCTACTATCCCTCTGGTATTTAACTGGAATGGAATGCTGCTCGTAATGATTGTACCTGCTGGTGGAATTCACCATTGGCTCCTCAGTCATCACTGATGTGTTCTGGGTACTTGTGGTTATACCATTCATTGAGCTATTGGTCTCATGTGTGTATTTAGGCGGGCTGAACTGATGCACTGAGACAGGTACCGATGAAGGGAAATGCCCCCCGAATGGTGAAAAGTTCATGTTTACGAAGTTCTTTTAGTCCTGTAACATAAAGACTTGGTAAGTTTATAGTAGTTGATGCATCAATCACTCATACTACTATAGGTCAATTTTAATGGCATAGGCTACCTAACTTATTATTTTACAAAAAAGTACCTTTCCAAGTTAAAGTACAGCTCATGATACGTAAGCTGGCACTTGGGCCTGGCGCGGGCGAAGTGAGGTTGGAGTCAATTCACAGGACGTTTTGACGCTGACTCACAGGAGTTTTGTGTATTTGAGCGCCTTCACGCCCCGAGGACAGTTGACGCAACCCTCATGACAGAATTTTTTTTTTTAACTAGGCTACCGGTGGCGGAAACCGAAGAGGATCTTAAGAAACTGGCCCAAACTATTACAACAGAATCAAAAAAGATAGGACTTAAAGTAAGAGCAGAGAAATCCAAATATCTCAAAGTGGGAAGAATTCAAAATGAGAAGTTTGTCTCTGGATTTTAATTTTACAAAAACAGTCTGTAGGCGACATAAACTAACAACTCGATACATTATAACCTAAACCTTAACTTACCTAATCTAACCTACCTTCAAAGGACTTAATGCAGTCACCAATTCACATAAAGCAAGACCTACAACCCTGACATGCCTTTTCCGACATCAACAGGAGTTTGCTTACATTCTAGAGGTTTGGTTAGGTTAGGTTATGTTAGAATAGCACCATTTTATTATGTTATTTCTAAACGGCAAAATATAATTTAATAAATCATTAGGCCTACCTAATAAGAATAAAATACTGAAATTGTATTAAATGCGTTAACTTAAGGTAAGTTAATGGTCTTAGAAATTTAAAAGTGTAACTTAATCAGGTGATTTCATATTGCAGAATCAGAGTTAGCTAATGTTGTCACTTCCATTTGCTTTCGACTATGATTGAAAACAATCAGCTGAGTTGGCTTAGGCCTACTTCATTTCATTCCACTTGTAAATGTCATCCATCCTACCTTTTAGCGAATTTCCCTATAGGGAAGTAGCTATTACCGTAGGTGGCACGGTAAGACCTAGACCCGGGACCGATTTACTTTTTCATTTTGATGTCCCCAGAGGCTAAAAACACCATTCGTTCAAATTTTTATATATGTATATATATTTAATATATATATATATATTTAATATATATATATATATATTTAATATATATATATATATTTAATATATATATATATATTTTGTTATTGTATACATCAATGAGGGCTACTTTAAATGTTACTAAGAAAATCAAAATACCACAGTACCCTAAAAACATTTTATTTTATATTACTTACATGTTTCGGACATTAATGCCATGATCACAGTATAGTATATAACCTATTAGTTTCTTCATTATTAGATATTTCTTATTAAAGAACAGGTGATAATTTTTATGTTAAGGGAAGGAGGTGTTTTCTTTAAGATGTATAATTTCATTGAATATTACGTTTTGATTTTGAATTTGTGTCAAGTTTAGTAAATTGTCTTTGTCATTAATATGATGAGTATAAATATAAAAGTCTTCTTTTGTATTCATTTTTTCACCTTTATTTTCAACATCCAGAATGTGCATATTTTTATTCTTTTCTGAGTATGTATGGTCGGTCTGAAGTATATGTTCGGCGTATGAGGATTTTTGTGTTGTCATATTGTTTGATCTGATTGCCTGTATATGCTCTTTGTACCTGACTTCGAATGTTCGACCTGTTTGACCAATATAGTATTTTTCACAGTTGTTACATGATAATTTGTAAATTCCTGATTTCTTATATAAATTTGGTGGGTTGGGTCTCGGATTTGTTCTTTTTTGAATTATGTTAAAAGCGTTATTCCTTGTTTTATAACTTAGTTTAAATTTTGAGTTAGGTAATGTCTTTCTTAAGGTTTTGTTTAAGGACGAGCTGAATGGAATACATATAAATTCTTTCTTTACATTTTCTTGTTCTTCTACTTTCATTCTTTTTGTTTTTTTCATTTTTTATTAATTTTTCAATCATTTTTTCTTTGTATCCGTTTGTTCTTGCAATTCTTTTTATAGTTTTCTTTTCTATTTCAAAGTTGTCTTTAGACATTGGTATGTTAAGTAGTCTAAATACCATTGATTTGAATGTAGAAATTTTGTGTTGCCAAGGATGGTTTGACTCAAATGGAATGATTAGGTCAGTTTGGGTAGGTTTCCTATATATATTGAAATTATGTCGATCGTTTTCTTTAGTAATTGTTATGTCTAAGAAATTTATCTTCTTTTCTTGTGTCTCCATCGTAAATTTAATTGTTGGGGAGATAGAATTTAAGTATTTCAAAAAATCTTGATATGAGTCTTTATTGCCGTTTTATAAGCATAATATATCATCGACATATCTATACCAATAGATTATATCTTTTTTAAATGGATTTTCGTCGTTTATGATTTTTGATGATTCTAGATACTGCATATATATGTTTGCTAGAATACCAGAAAGTGGAGAACCCATAGCCAATCCTTCTAATTGTTTGAAAATTTTGCCATTGAATTCAAAATAGCTTTGATTGATTGTTACTCTAGATAGTTTCATAAGAAAATGTAAAGAAAGAATTTATATGTATTCCATTCAGCTCGTCCTTAAACAAAACCTTAAGAAAGACATTACCGAACTCAAAATTTAAACTAAGTTATAAAACAAGGAATAACGCTTTTAACATAATTCAAAAAAGAACAAATCCGAGACCCAACCCACCTAATTTATATAAGAAATCAGGAATTTACAAATTATCATGTAACAACTGTGAAAAATACTATATTGGTCAAACAGGTCGAACATTCGAAGTCAGGTACAAAGAGCATATACAGGCAATCAGATCAAACAATATGACAACACAAAAATCCTCATACGCCGAACATATACTTCAGACCGACCATACATACTCAGAAAAGAATAAAAATATGCACATTCTGGATGTTGAAAATAAAGGTGAAAAAATTAATACAAAAGAAGACTTTTATATTTATACTCATCATATTAATGACAAAGACAATTTACTAAACTTGACACAAATTCAAAATCAAAACGTAATATTTAATGAAATTATACATCTTAAAGAAAACACCTCCTTCCCTTAACATAAAAATTATCACCTGTTCTTTAATAAGAAATATCTAATAATGTTTGTAAATAAAAGAAACTAATAGGTTATATACTATACTGTGATCATGGCATTAATGTCCGAAACATGTAAGTAATATAAAATAAAATGTTTTTAGGGTACTGTGGTATTTTGATTTTCTTAGTAATATATATATATATATATATATATATATATATATATATATATATATATACGTCCGTGAACGACTTGAGTAATTTTTGTCCGATTTTGATGAAATTTGGTTTAAAGGTGTAAAGCAGGATAAACTTGAATGAGTTCGCGAACCAGCATGATCGGACCATGGGAACGGGGCTTTACGGGGGATTTTATGGGGTAATAATTGGTTTTTCAAATTTTTCACCCTCTAAACACAAAATTTCCCAATTACTCCTCAGACCTTTTTGAAGAGCTTAAAAAAACAATTAATTTAGTATATAAAAGTATTTTTGTTCGGTTAATAGTAACGGAGAAAATTAAAAAAATTTTAAATTTAAAATTCCCATGCTATTCTTATGGAGAATATTGTCAAATGTTGTAGTTTGCTTGTTTATGGATATATTTTGTATTTTGATCAAATTTATTTATTTTGTACTAAGCTATCAATATTTTACAAAAAACACAATTTATTAGTTTCCTTGTAGCAGCAAACCTAGGTACTCGTTAAACCTAATGTAATTAAAATATATTTAATTGAAAATCAATTAAGACGAAATGGAAATTCGCTTAGTCGGCAGGTTTGCTGCGGCGGGGGTATTTTTTTTTTTTTTTTTTTTTGTAAAGTTGTATATTATTACGGTGATATCTTGAGAAATATTCATCAGCTGTGAAAAATAATGGTATATTTGGATTCAGGAGGTGACTAGGCTTGTCAGTAAACCTTATTTGATTATAGTGTACCACGCTCTGTTCCATAGTATTTTAAGCTATGGTCTCCTTCTCTGGGGCCATGCACCATCATGTCTTGAGATTCTAAAATTGCAGAAGAAAGCAGTAGGCTACGTATTTTAACTTCTAGTAAAAGAAATGACCATTGCAAACCTCTGTTTGTCAGCACCGGTATTTTAACTATTGTCAGTCATTACATTTTTTTGTCAGCCGATCATGTGAAAGCAAACCTACATAAATTCCCTTCAAGAAATACTGTTCATAGCCATGGTACAAGACATCGCTCCGACCTGGACATAGGCTACCTTTCTGCCGGCTGTCTAAAACCAAAAACTCTTTCCCAATGCTTGTCCTGAAGATTTACAACCACCTGCTTACGTCAATCAAAAACCAAGGGGAAATGGCCTTTTGTACAGCCCTGAAAAACTTGTTGAGGGAGAAACCATACTACAGCCTACAAGACTATTTTGATGAGAAACTTTAAGTCAATAAGCCTGCGGCAAAATCATCCCCCGCCAAAGTACTTTTAATATAAGTTAGTTCATACTTCAATCTATGGAAGTTTTTATGTATATAGCCTAGTGTAAATAGAAAATTGACGAAACCTATCCGGCTCTCAACCAAGCAATCAACTTACACCAGACGGATGGTGACGGTGCGTAACCTAGACCAGCTAAAGGTTCAGCTTTCTCAAGAAACTTGGGAAAGTGTACTCAACAAACACGACGTTGATGAGGCCTACAACTAATTCATGAACATCGTTACCACAAACCTTAATCTTGCCTGCCCATACAGAAAATCAAGAGCCAAGAAAAACAAAAATAATAAATGTTTTTATGATGAAGAGGCTAAAGAGCTTAGACAAAGATTCTTGGCGGCGAATAACCGTTACATTTTAACTGGGCGTGCAGAAGACAAGCTAATAGCTAATAACTTAAAAAAATCTTATGACTTGAAGTTAAACTCACTTCGACGAGATTTTAATGCCCAGCACATTCAGAACTCTG